CTCTTCAAAGACTTGCATTGGTGAAGGAAACTGACCGGGCTGACAACCCTCTCACCTTTTTGCACCACTCTACAACATGGGGACTTCACCTCTCCAAAGCTGCGTGAGGGAAGGGCGGAAACAAGAAAAAAAGCACATCCTGAGGCACCTGATAACCACAGCCTACCTACTGCAATACTTGTGTCTCTCTTCCCAGCTGCTTTACCTCTGCCACTCTCCATCTCCAAACCACATTCTTTTTAACTGCCATGCAGAGTGGCAGTCCTCCGGGCACCATAGAGCAGCACCATATTTTTATTTTTTTATTAGTATTTTTTAATTTCAAAACAGCATTCTACTTCCCTCTGGAGATGGACAGTAGGTCCAGCCAGTCACCGAGTTGCCAACACAGAGCTTCACAGTTCCAGAAGGCACTCTTTCCTTTGACCGATTCCTTATAAATGTTATCTACCACTGGCAAAAGCAATAAACAGACTGCAAACATCCACTGCCATGTTTGACAAATTTTATGTTTTTAATTTTATTATTTCAAAAGAGCAGTCCACTTGCCTCTACACCTGTGAAGTAGATCAAACCAGTCACTAAGTTGCCGAACAAGAACTTGACGGTTCCAGAAAGCGCTGTTTCCTTTGACCGGTTCCTCCTAATGTTTACCTACTGCTGAAAAAAAGCAAAAAGACTCTGTGCCAGCTGCCCTCGAGTACTCGCCCAGAGCTTGAGTATTCTCCCAGAGACAGAGCAGATGTCTTTTCCAAAGAGTCAGGACAATGTATTATTGCACTGATGGAACACCACTTTAGCTAACATCACTAATTGCCAGGTAGGACAGCTCCAGGCCAAACACACACATAAAGAGGCACGCTACAAACATCATGAATGAAACATGGGAAAAGAATTACTTATGCTATAAGAATTACTCACCTGAAGAAGAGCTGCATGCAATAAAGGCACCTACTACTACATAGATTAATTTACTTTAAATGATCCTACTAGATGTCACCTTAAATAGATGTACTCATCTCTTTCAACTTGGAAACACACCAACCTGTAGACTTTGATCCACCACCAGGCAGGGACTAGGAATACTAAGTAGAGGAGAAAACGAGTGTTGTGAGCCTGAAGTGTGTACAACCATAGTAAAGACAGCTCCTGAGAGAATGGGGAAACAAAGGGAAAGCTGCTTACCTCTGAGAAGTCGTCCTTGATCTTTGTGCCACGGACATTTGTCTTGAATGCTCGGCGCACGAGTTTAGGGGTCCCCGTCCGTTGAAGATTTACCTCGGGGAAGTCCTACATGGCTCCACCCGCATTACTGATTTTTTCTGCCAGCAGGCAGTGGCAGAAAATCCCGAGAAACAGCAGACACATCTTCCCAAACCATTTTCTCAATAACGGAAGCAATGCGAACTGCGCTGAAAACCGCAAGTGAAAACAGCAGAAATACACACCCCACGCTGTCTCAGGTAGGAAATAACTGCCCTGAGCAACATGCCCTTCCCAGGGTGAACCCAATGTACCCATGGCCTTAGGGGGAAGGCAGAAAAGGAACACAAGACCTTTAGTATGTCTCCTGAGAATCACAATTTCCATTTACTCCATGTCTTCTGGTCTCACAGGATGAGGCAGAGGTATAATTAATTCCTTCTCCATCTCTTTGCAAAGAGCTTTTCATCTGTGACAAAGAAGAAAAATGTTCTGATCGTGGGAATCATTCCACAAAGCCACACGCGGTGAATTCATTATTACAGATAAGATCATTTTTAATCAAAAACACCTCAGCCACAACGTTACCATTGCAAACATAGCACTGCACAAAAATTCAACTCAGGATATAGGAAAAGGCAATCTAAGACGAATGAAGGTGACCAAAAGCATCTGCAACAACCACCTGGTAGATGGTTGTCCACAGCCACCGGATTTCATGGTCGTCTTTCCTGACAAATGAATCCTGGAAGAACAGAAAAGATACACAACATGTCCACAACAACTTCTGAGGAGACTATTGAACAGAAAAAAAAAAAAAATAGAAACAGCAAGCGGCTACTACGTCAGTTTTGTTAACAGAGTAACATTAACATACTAGAAATTTCCACGTTCTATGTAGCCCCAAGGTGGTGCTGGGTACATCCGCTGATATTATTGAGGTGGCACAATGTCAGAGATAGTTAACAGACAAGGTACACCTGAGGTGCACCCAGTTTGGATCAGCTTGCATATGAGTCTGCTGATACATCAGTGCTGTTCTTCCAAAAGCAGACAGACTGTTATTCGTTCCTCGGTGGAGCTGTTTTAAGTTGCCCCCTTAATTAATTTTCAGAGATCACTGCATTAATAATAGAAAGGAATTTATTGAGTAAGTCTTAATTAGAATTGAGGGTGATCAAGTGGCAATTCCAAGTCATAGGGCATACCATACAGCATTTCAAAAGGAGAAATTCCTACATCAGTTCTGGGCTGTGTCCATATGTTTAACAGTGCAACAGGTAAACATTTTACCCAAGAAGCCTTAGTTTCCAGCATAAGTTTTGTTAGTTGTTTCTTAATTTCACCATTCATTTGCTCTACCTTTCTAGCACTTTGGGGATGCCATGGAGTGTGGTATTCCCAACTTGTTCCTAGAGCTTTCATAGTCTCTTGAGACACTTTGGAGACAAAATGAGGGCCTCGGTCAGAGTCAATTGTTTCTATAATTCCGTATCTAGGAATAATATTCTCAATTCCCAATTCAACCAGATTTTAGTATTTACTTAACTGATCATAAATTTCGGGATGATTAGGGTCTCAGTGGGGTTGGTCAAGGGAATGCAATTGTCCGCAGTTCCCTGAGCGGTCCCATCGGCAATCTGAGCTTGCACATGAACTCAGGTTGTTTTAAGAGTTAACTGCTTTTCTGTTTCCATAACAACTCTCTTTCTCAGACCCTTTGCCCCAGAGGACTAACACCCCTGATTTTAGGATCTCAGCCTCGGGCTGAGGCAGAGATATTAACATTCCTACATCCTCTTTCCCTGCTCATTCAACTTTGAATACCTTTAACACTTTCAACAACCCTTTTAACACTTCCTTTATCTTTCTCTAGCCTTTACTTTTCTAATGCCAACATCAAAGGCTCAGTCAGGGGCCAACTTAATTCCGTACCTTTTCCCACCAAGATGCTGAAACAACATCAATATACAACATTTCATCCTGTTTTCCTTCTCTCCACAAAAACAACATTGACTGTAATATGGTGTTATAATTAATAGTTCCATTTAGGGGCCACTCCTCTCCATCCTCTAGTTTATAAAGTGGCCACCACTGATTACAATATTTGATAAGAGTTCTTTTACTTTCTGTACCCTCTCACCCCACTATATCCCTCCACCGTGTTAGTATACATCCTAGGGGGCTTTTCCAGGGGATTTCTTTGCTTTGACCTTTTCCTATTGTAATCAACAGTGGTTAATATTCCACCGTTTTCCTAGGATCTCTTTACTAGTCAATCCCAATCCCTCCAAAATCCATAATATATAGATACACATGTAAAATCAGACCACTGTAAATTAACTGCCTGTAGGCAATTACACTGAGGACATTTAAACCTGATGAGCCGATGATATGCCTGGGCAAATTTTGTTCCCTTAGACATACACCTCAATGGCAGTTCTTATATTTACATATTAACATATGTATAAAAGAACACTTTAACAAAAATGCCTGGGCTTCTATATATACAATATACAATGTACAGTTATTATTCCAGTTAGAATTATTCCTCAGCAACTGCAAACATTATGCCAGTTACCATTAAAGCTCGCTTACCCTCCTCCTATCTCTTTCTTAAAATCTCGGACATCCCTGGAATTAATGGGGATGGCCACATATTCCTAGTCACTGGTCCCTGAGCGCTAGAGTCAGAGTCGCTATCAGCATCTCCCTGGGGTTGTGGATTAGGAAGCCTGGGAGTCAGAGGGGCTGCAGGTGGAGTAGGTGGAATATAGGGAGGCAGTGGGGCTGGGATCTCTAATTCTCGGTTTTTCTTGTGCCTCCCATCCCCTCCTTTTTCTTTTAGAGGGTATAAATTGGCTTGAGTTTCCGAGCTGATCCACAAATGTGCATATTCACTTTCTTCCAAACTAAAAGGTTCCTTTGAGTTTACATAAATATTTAGGCCTGACAAACCCAATCTTCAAAAGACCCAAATATGGGCCAGTAAAGGTGGTCTCCTCGAATCTGCTTACTGCCCCAAACTTCAACACTATAATGTATTATTTTTACTTTATTTTTTCCCTGCCTAGAAGGGGATTCCTCATAGTTTTTAATCACTAATCCCGGGGTAACCTAACATCAGACGTTACCCCACCCATGGGACCAGAAGGCTTACTCTTCTTCTGTCCCATCTTCCGGAGCACCTTCACACACGCATGCACGAATCGCTTCCCCCTTTTCATGGCCCAGTCCCTTGGGGGATGTGGGAACCGTACTACCGAGGGGTCCACACTCGCTTCGTCCTGCTGGACGTCTCACAACGATATGCTCCGGGATGCCAACCCCAACCGAATGGCACACCAGCCTATACTTACTCATCCCATGAGTTCATTCTTCGTGCACAAAGATTACTTGGGATTGCCAGCTTTATTTGCTTGTTGCTGAATTTAGGGTTCGTCTGTGAAGGATTTGAATCAAAGTAGTCCTAGCGAAGGCTGCTGAAATCAGCAGGGCGCCCCCTCTGAAGGTCTTTCAATCAAATTGCCTTCATCCGAGTCATGGCACCAAATTTGTTATAAGTTGCCCCCTTAATTAATTTTTCAGAGAGCATTGTATTAACCATAGAAAGGAATTTATTGAGTAAGCCAACAGCAAGCAAAACAGCGCTGGGCGGCCGGGGAGTCTCGGCTCCGCCAACGGCGCGCACCTCACTCCCGCCAGGGTCCCTTTTTATATCTTGGTAATTCCGGGATTACGCAGCACATCCTGGTATATTCTGCGACTGTACGCACTGTTGCTAGGGGGTCGTCTCTGTCCCTCTGGTGGCCGTGAAGATGAAGGCCATAGTCTTCCTTGGCGTTGTGGTTCAACTTCTATTTTTATTTGGTCCTGTTGGCCCAGCGTGAGACGGGAAGGCAGGATGTTGATACACTAGTTTAGCAATTTATCAGGAGGTGGTTATATGAGCTTTGCAGCAGTGTCCTTGAACAAAAGAGGCAACTGAGATGCAGAAGGAGAGAAGGGGAGGGGGTTCTCTTTTTTGTTACATTAAGCAAAAGAATTTTCATAGTGTCTGGCCAAGTATTATACAGCTCCTTTCTTCAGCAGGGAGCTTTCGCAACTTCCGCTCCTCAAACAGAACTCCTTGTTTTTTATAATACAAAAGACAATGAACAAACATTTATGGTGTATTACAAAAAGCATTTGTGAGCAGACTGAGGTCCTGGGAAAGTCTGGGATGGGCAGAGTACAGGCCACCACAGGGACACAGATGGGGGTGTCCATTTTTACAGGGTACCCACACACCATGGGACTGCAGCACTGTGAGGCCAGGAGTGCTGACAGGCTGGGAAAGCAGCATCCTAAATCCTGGACTAAGGTCCCCGAGCTGGGTGAGGTCAAGCTACCAGCTTGGTCTCAGCAAGGTGCAAGACTGGGCCTGGTTATGGGTAAGATTATGCCAAGGAACAGTCTCTGTTGTCAATCCTGCAGGACACTCCAGAAAATACAACCTCCATAAAGGCTCCTTAGACTGCACTGGGGTAAGAAGAAAGATTTATGGCAGCAGGCTATGTCTGCCATATGGCATCTACCACCAGGCTTGGAAGAAAGCTGAGGCATGAAAGCTGTGCTGCCCTCAGGTGGCAGCACAGCGCAGCAGACCAATGCCAGGCAGGCTGTGGGTTCTCCCGAATGCCATGGCCCCCACCTCACATCCTAGGTACCTCCATCTTCAGGTAAGGGAGAGGAGGGGCGGGGAGGGGCGGGGAGGGAGGGGAGGGGAGGGGGAGTTGGCTTGTCCATATGGTGACAAACATACCCCCACCTTGCCCTTTTTGCAGTGAAAAATTAAAGTACAGAGAGGTGGGGGATCTGCCTAAGTCTGGCTATGAACAGGAGGTGTTGGTGGGTAGGTGTGACCCACCAGGCAGCCCAGGAGTTGGGCCTGGCTTCACTCTGCCTCACTGCATGAGTCCACATCTTCACCCTCCTCTGGGTGTATGATCCCTGCAGCACAGCGTGCCATGATCCTCATCCAGCGCTGTTTCAGCTCCTCTGTGTCGGCCAGGAAGGTATAGACCTGCTGGGACTGTGCCAGCTGGAAGAGGTGTTGGGCCTTGCCCTGTGGCAGGTCCCTTACCTGGTAGCCCAGCAGTGGAATGGAGGTGTGGGCTCGGACATCCTGCCAAGAGAGAACACAGCAATGAAAGGCAGGCAATCTAAGCACTGGGCTGCCCCCTTGCAGATGGAGCTGAGCCCAGACTTACCTGGGGGGCTGCATAAATGTACAGCACAAGGGAATCATCCCATGGGATAACAAACCAGCCCCTCATGCCTCCCTTGCCGTTCTTGTCCAGCAGCTGCAGGGAACTGCACAGAAGACTCCTGCCTGATATCTCTGCAGCTCCCTTCTGCCAAAAAATAAATAAATAAATAAAAATAAAATAAAATAAAAATAAAATAAAATAAAATAAAATAAAATAAAATAAAATAAAATAAAATAAAATAAAATAAAATAAAATAAAATAAAATAAAATATAAAATAAAATAAAATATAAAATAAAATAAAATAAAAACAGCCAACAAATCTCTAAACACCCAGTGTTAGTGGAGGCAGAAAGGGCACTGATCAAAGGGCTGGGAATGGCAGCAGAGGTTGGAGGAGCAGGGCACAGGGAGGATGGGCAGAGAGGGGTACAACTGACCTCCAGGATGCCTTTGTGCTTCCACTCCTGGTCCTCCAGCACTACATGGCCCATCAGGAACACATAGCATTCCTGACATACACGGTTTAGGCGGTTCCCATCATACTGCAGCTTCACCTTGTGTTCTGAGCAGTGAGCACACACCACCTACAACAATCAGGCATGGACACTGATGGGGCTAGGGTAAAACTGGGGCATCCCTATAACTCCATGAGGAGCTGAGGGACAGGAAACAGCCCTGAACCCAGGTAAAGGGGTGCAGAGTGTACAAGGGCTGCATTCCTGGCCCAACTGCTCAGGCCAGAAGGCAAGGGAAGAGTTGGGGAAGAGGGTAACTCACGTATCCACAAGCTCTACAGTGGTGTCTCCGGCGCATGATGGCATTGAAGGGCTCCTTGCAGCGCATGCACATGGTCACCAAGTTGTCCCGCACCCACTGTGGGGCTCGGCAGCCCAGCTCTTCTGTCTGAGGGTGGGAAATGGCATTGCTGGGGCTGGCTAGCCATGGTCAGGGTGATCCTGCTCACACTTCTCTCAGCCTCCTCAGGCCCTCTGCACTTACTCGTCCCTCCCCAGTCTGCCCCCACTAGTTCTGTAGGGTTTAGCTTAGGAAATTGAGGCACAGCAAAGTGGGACCTCCCTGAGCTTCAGCGTATGGGGGTGCTGGAGGCAGACAGGACATGGGAAGGACAGACAGGTTACCTTGAGTGTGGGGTTTCCTGTCTCCAGCCCACGCACAACCATCTTAAAGCTCTCACTCCTCTTCTCCTTCCTGTCAATGGCATCCTGGAAAGCCTAGAAGGGAAGGCAGGGCTGGAAGGACAGATAGGGAGGATACCCAAACACTGACAGGTAGGGGATAAGCACCCCTGGGGACCCAGGCATCCAGCTGGTATGGGATGTGCCACTTCTCACAGCACTCAGCCGTACCTTGATCCAGGCATTCATTTCCTCCCCAGACCTAAGTGCAAAAAGCGAGATGGATAAGCTGGCATCACTCCTCCCTGAGGAGAAATGGGGCCATCACTCTTTCCCTTACCTGGCCTGCAGCTCCAGTGTCCGCTGCTTTCCCGAGACTAGGAAGGTGTGAGGGAATTGCATATCATTCAGCTCCTGCACCTGAGAGACACCGAAGAGAACATGGGAAACAGCTGAACAAACATCCAGCTCAAAGGGACCTCCATCTGTGAAGTGAGTAACAGGGAGTTCCCTCAGGCAGAAGCCCTTCAGCCCCTCAAATCCGTGCATGATATTTCAGTACAATCTCACAGGATCAGGCTGCAACCAGTCCCCCTCACCCACAACATCAACTCTGGCTCCAAATTCTTCCTCCCTTCCCAGGAAGTACAAGGTAGCAGCCACACTACACCACAGAGAGGGCTGCATTTGGAGGAAGCCTCTGAAACTGCTCCCCAGGGCCTTGGGGAAAGCAAAAAGACAAAGGGCTTGTCTGACCTTCATGCCATCCATGTCAATGCGGAGGCGGACCTGGAACTCAGCGCCCACCTGAATGACCTTAGGCACGCAGTACAGCAGCATGTTGTTGAACTGTGCAGGAGAAGAAGAGTGTGGGTCTGTGCCCAGCAACCTATCTGCTCAGGGCTGAGGGGTTCACTAGGATCAAGGGTCCCTCAGACCCTAGGAGCTGAGCCGATCCCTGGGAAAGATTTGGACTAAAAGGTGCCTACTTCTGCCCCAGCCCTCTCCCACCCTACAAAGGGAAACCACTACAGGATTCTGGCCTCCCCCAGGGAATCAGAGGTTCCCAAACACATGGAGCCCTGAACCAGGGTGTTCAAACCCCACAGAACTGAAATAATCCTTTCTATACAGAGATGAGCCACCACCACCCCTGGCCAAGCTGTCTGCCCCTCTCGCCATCCCTATCCCACCTGCTCCCTGCCCCTTCCCCCTGGCATCCTGGCTCCCATCAGAATCAGGTACTTCTCCGATGTGCTGTTGTTGCGGGTTGAGATTTTTTGGACTGGCCCCTCCTTGATCAGCTCATTGGAGGGATCCACAATGTCATGCTCGAGGCCCAGTCTCTGGGACACCTCCCAGAGGTTCTGCAGCCGCTCCTGGGGGAGGCAGGGGAACCTGTCTGGGAGGGAGCTGAACAGCCAACACCTTGTCATACCTGGGTCCCCTCCAGCCCCAGCCCAGCTACTGAGTACCGGGGGAGATGGCACATGTCACTCACCCCAGACTGACCTTCACGAGCAGCTTCCAGCCTGGAAACAGCCAGTCACAACACGGCTGATGCTACAGACATTATTTCCCCAGGCTCGGGGAGATGGGGGTCAGACATCAAAAGCAAAGTCTAACCTCCCCGGCTGAACGCTGCCCCATTCTGGGCAGGGTTTTGCTCTGTTCTGAGTTGCACAGCAAAGAGGCCATGAGAAAATCTGGCAGAGTGCCAGCAAATCACCATGCCATGATTTGCAAAGCATTGCCAGCTGTGACAGGCACTCACCATCTCAGCAATAGCTGTATTTGAATGCTTGGCCACCATGAAAATCAACTCCAGAGCCTCTGCAAGGAAAAGAGAAAAGTTAAGCTCCTGCTGTGGAGAGGTAGGAGAAAACTCCTGCATCTGTCCTCACCAGCAACTGCACATGCAGTGGCTGCTGTCCTACCCTGGATACCATCTGAATGGCCCTGAGCACCACACAGGTGCCTGGGTCCTGCTAGGCTGTGCAGCACAGGCAGTCGTGGGGAGACACAGGGTGCTAATTTATCCTTCATCCCAGCTGGACTGGGAACTGCTGTTATCCACATGGTTGTGATACCTCCCCCGGTCGTGGCAGATCTCCCTGCAGGGAAATGCTCTGCAGCAGCGCACCTTATCCTGAACCATCACCCACCTTTCCCAACAACTTTCACAGACCCTAAAGGGGTCAGAAAAGTGTCATACTCAGAGGTTTATCCAAGAGCAGCTGTTGAGAGGACCCAGGTAGCCTGATGCCCATGTACAATGCCAGGAGCTGTCAATTCCCCCACCAACCCACTCCACTGCTCGCTACAGCAAGGAGCTCTTACTCTCTGCATCATTCCGATCTGGGGACTCAGGCGGCAGTTTTTGGGTATAGTCTTTTAAGAGGAGTTCATAGCGTGGGATCCTCTGCACTGGTTCCAGCATATGGTGCTGCAGTGTTAGGTTAGCACAGACCTTCCTCTTCTGACCCATGCACAGAGAAAGAAACAGTAAACACAGTAGTTCCTACTATCCTCTGCTTCCTCCCTAGAGGGGGATTTTGGGAAGCATTCCTGTGGTCCCCCCACACTGCCATGGCCTATCACCTGGATGTCAGCAATGAGCTCCTGGAAGGGCAGTGATTTCTCTGTCCAAACAGTGATGAGCTCCACAGCCTTGTTGAAGTTCTTCACATATTCACCGTACATTTTCAGGAATGGTGCAAGCTTCTGGATCATGTCCCCGATCCTTGGGTGGGAGCTCCTGCAGCAGGGAACCACAGCTTCCTCAGACCGTAGGGAAGATGGACAGCAAGAGATAAAAAAAGGGGGGCAGTTTATGCATGGCAGAGGTTTATGGCTACATCCTCATACAACTCCCCACTCTCTAGAACAGGTACATGGCCAGCCAGCCTTGGCATTCATTCCTGGGAACACCCCTAAGCCACATGAGATGTCACTCCGCTTTTCAGAAATAGCTTAATCTGGGCTGGACTGTTTTAAGGAAGTGCTGTCCAGCACAAAGACGTCTGGAGCAAAACAGGCTTGAACTCTCTAGTCCTATTGGGAGGCCAAATTCGCCACTGCTCCTTTATTCTGGGAAATTAACCCAAGCATCCTGGACCCTCCCCTCCCACAGCTCACCAATTCTCCATGCGCTTCTGCAGCTCTGGCAGGAAGAACTTGGCATGGAACTGGTAGATGGAAGAAATGTTGGAGAAGATCATTTTTACCACCTCCTCTGGGACTGTTTTCCCATTTTTGGCTTCTTTCATCAGCTCTGTATAGAACACCTGAAAGAAAGGTAGGAGAAGATCACATTTGAGATCATCCAAGGAACCTGAATGTGCACAAGCCCAAGGGACCTGACAAAATGCATCCACAGGGCCTGATGGGATTGGTGGATGAAGTTTCTAAGCCACTACCCCTCGTATTTGAGAAGCTGTGGCAGTCTGGTGAAGTTCTCAGTGAATGGAAAAGGACAAACTTAAACCCCATCTTTAAAAAGGGAAAAAATGAAGACCCAGGGAACAGACCTGGCAGACCAGTCAGTCTCACCTCTGTGCTTGGCAAGACCATGGAGCAGACCCTCCTGGAAACTATGCTAAGGCACACAGAGATCAGAGAGGCGATTTGTCACAGCCAACATGGCTTCACTAAAGGCAGATAGTGCCAGACAAATTTAGTGGCTTTCTACAACAGAGTTAAAGCATTGGTGGATAAGGGAAGAGCAACTGATATCATCTACCTGGACACATGCAAAGCACTTGACATGGCACTGCACAACATTCTTTTCTCTAAATTGGAGAGACATGGATTTGATGGATGGACCACTCGGTGGGTAAGGAATTGATTGGATGGTTGCACTTAGAGTTGTAGACAACAGCTCAATGTCCAGGTAGAGACCAGTGAGGAGCAGAGCCCCACAGGGGGGTCGGTATTGAGACCAGCACTGTTTAACATCTTTGTCAGTGACATGGACAATGGGATTGAGTGCACCCTCAGCAAGTTTGCTGAGGAGACTAAGCTGCATGGTGTGGTCAACACACTGGAGGGAAGGGATGCCATCCAGAGAGACCTGGACAGGACTGAGAGGTGGGCCTGGGAAAACCTCAAGAGGTTCAACAAGGCCAAGTGCAAGGGTCTGCACCTGGGTCAGGGCAATCACAAACATAAATACAGGATGGGTGATGAAGTGAAAAGACAGCAGCCCTGTGGAAAAGGCCTTGAGGGTACTGGTGGATGAAAAACTGAACATGAGCCAGAAATGTGCGCTTGCAGCCCAAAAAGCCAATCGTATCTTGAGCTGCATGACAAGTATGGCCAGCAGGTCAAGGGAGGTGTTTCTCCCACCCTGCTCTGCTCTCCATGAGACCCTATCATCTGCAGTGGTGCATTCAGCTCTAGAGCCCCTAGCAGAAGAAAGACATGGACCTGTTAGAGTTGGACCTGTCCAGAGGAGGGTTGTAACGATGATCAGAAGCTGGAGCACTTCTGCTATGAGGATAGACTGAGAGAGTTGGCATTGAGTTCAGCCTAGAGAAGAAAAGGATCCAGGGAGGCCTTATAGTACTTAAAGAGGACCTACAAGAAAGCTGGAGAGAGACTCTATCAGGGAGCACAGGAATAGGACAAGGAGTAATGGATTTAAGGTAAAAGAGGGTAGATTTAGATTAGACATTAGGAAGAAATTCTTTACTATGAGGGTGGTGAGGCACTGGCACAGGCTACCCAGAGAAACTGTGTATGCCCCATCCCTGGTAGTGTTCAAGGCCAGGTTGGATGGGGCTTTGAGCAACCTGGTCTAATGGAAGGTGTTCACGCCTGCAGCAGGTGAGTTGGAATTTAGTGGTCTTTGAAGTCCCTTCTAACTCAAACAATTCTGTGATTCTATGACTCTATGATTTTGTGATTCTCTGGCTGTGATGACCAGCAACCCAGCAAGGCTCACATCTGCACAGATTCATTCTCTCCATAACCTCCAGGAAACAGTTCCTGGCCTGTGCGCACACTGAACTGAGCCCAGGCACTGCCACAGTATCCCAGCCCTGTCAAGGAGAACAAGACAACTGCTAAGTGTGTGCCTGGTTTGTCAGCGTGGGCTGCCCAGGCTGTGCTAGTCGGGGCTGGTTGCAGCAGGGCTATCACTTCCCAGGCTTGCATGCACTTTTCTGCTCCCCAGCTCACCTGGTCAAGAAGGTGGAGGCGGTTGACGTAAGCCTGCTCTGTCTCCAGCAGCTCCAGAGCGATTTTCTTTTCCTCTGGCTCCTGCATGAGGAGAAGGGCTCAGTCTCATGGGCAGTGATGTGAGCTGTCCCTAACAGCCTGAGGGGATCCAGCTCTGTTCCGCAGGGTTCAAAGCCCACAGTGCAGCTGGAAGTGGACCTTACTCTGGGTCAGGGCAAAGGAAGGGCTTCAACAAAGCATCCAGCAAAACTGAGTGTGAAAACAAAACTGTGTGAAAACAAAGCAGGCTGTGGGGAAGCTTGGCTCACATTCTTATAGATCACTCCTTTCTCCATGTCTGTTTCTCCTAGGGCAATACAGGCCTAGTGATCTCATACAGTAGGGCAGCATGGGGTGGGTTAACCCCATGGTCTGCAGTTCCACCAAGGCTTCTGAATGAGACCTGCAGAAATGCATCTGCAATAGGCATGGGTGACGCTGTGGGACCAACCATGCTATAGTTATATCAGAGCTAGAAGACACAAGCTTTACCTGGATCTATCTGACTACAGGGAATTTGTGCCCAAAGCACCAGGAATAGGGCCACTTCTCTGTCACCCCCTGCACCAGACCTTGAACAGGCAGTGACTTGCTCAGCAGAGACCTCAGCTCTGATCCAGCACACACAACTGGGTGTGAGCACCCATCAGCCTACCAGGAACCACCTCCAGAGCTCACCTTGCTGCCAGCTTCGAGGCCTGGATCCTGTTGCCTCCTCCAGTTGTCCCCGCTGATCTTGTGTCGGAAAGAACGAAGGCATTTGAAGCTAAGCCCCTTCTGACCTTGCTGCTCTTTCTGCCCTGCTGCTGAGGCCTTCCTCTTCTGCTGTTCCTCCTCCTCCTCACTCTCTTGCTCTGCTTGGTGCCTGGCAGCCATCTGGGAGAAGTTCTGGCCCTGGCTGGCTGAGGATGTTGGAAGCTGTTGGGGCTGGCTTGTCACAGGATAAGCCTGGCCATGCAGAGAGTGTTAGTCCTTCCAGGGGAATTTGCCAACCCTGCAAGGGGGGGGAACCAGCACGATCAGATGCCCCAGCACAGTGCAGGCCTCCCGGCTGCCAGCCCATAGGCTGGCTTTCCCACAGCACTGTCCTGAGCTGGCCTAGGCTACCATCCTCAAGCAAGATGGTAGGAAATGGCAGCACTTCAGTGCTGATGCTACCCTGCTCTGCCACAACCCTGCTGATACAAACCAGTGTCTGAAAGCCTATACATAGTCTGAGGGTGACATGATCCAGTCTTTCCTCTCCTGGTTCCTCCTGCTGGTGTGGTTAATCCCCATCCTGCTCTACAAGAGCACAGCTCAGCCATTTATCCTATTCACAGGCAGCCTGAGCCATCTTAGCCTTCCAGACTTGTACAAGCCACATATCTCCTTGGCACAGCCCATCACTTCCTCTCAGGCATCACTAGGTGGGAGCAATCTGAAATCTGAAGCTTTGCTGGGTTTTCTGCCCTGTCCCAGGCTCTTCTCCTCGCCACTCCTGATGTCTCCATGCAATAACACACAAACATGCCACCACGTTTTGCTGAATGTAGCCAAAATTCTGGGCTGCAACAGATCACCTGGAGGTTTTCCCCTCCCACTTCAGTGTTTCTTCCCAGAGATATGTCTCTGCCAACTTGTTCCCCATGTCTCCATAGGCTTGACTTGGCATAGTGCTCTTCAAGCCACTTCCAGTCTGGATCTCTAGTTTAAAACTAATTTTACTAATTGTGCTAGGGCCTGACTTGGGAAACCTGACAGCCTCTGAATACCTCTCACCAACTCAACAACTTTCAAGGCAATGCCAGTCCTTGATCATCCCAGACCTTATCCTTTCAACCTTCCTCCCCAGGGTCAGGACAAATCCCACATGAATACCACTTCCATCTCTGGGCTCACATCATCACTTTGGATACATGTCAAACAAAGCTTGTCTGTACTGTTTATCCATGGAGGGGCATCATCCCTGTTCCCAGCAGGATCCTCTTCCACTTCAAGTCCACGCCATTTAGCTTTGGTGTCAGCAAATGGTGCATCTGGATCTTTGCTTGCTCCCAGCTGTTAAATGCCCAAAGTGCAGACCTGTCCTTTGCAGCACTGGAACAGCTCTGGCTTTCTGTCTACTGCTGCTGTGGAGCCAAAGCAGGGAACCAACTGTCCTGGGCACAAGGCTTTAAAAGCCAAATAGCCAAGAGGTCTCAGCCCTGAGGAAGGTTTGTGTTTTTGCAGAAGGGTGATCTTTTAGTGGCTTTCTCTCTTCTCTTTTCTGGCAAAGACAAAGACAAATACAGAGCAGCACCTTGAAGGTGACGGCAGTGAGCTGTCTGTCACCAAAGAGCTGGTTGTTTAGTAAATTCCTCCAGGCAGAAACTAGTAAGACATCCAGTGGTGACCTGCAGACAGGAATGGAGTGAGGAGGAGGAGGAGAAAAGCAGGATGAAACTGGACATAAAACCATGAAGCTGCAGACAGGAAGTGACTCAATAGCAGACACTCATCTGAAGAGGAGGACAGATCTATCCCCACATGGACCAGCATGTGTCTGTGAGCTCGTGAGTGCATCCACAGACACACACACCTGTCCTTGGAGGCAGTCATAGCCCTTTCTGTGATAGAGATGATTTATCCATCTCTCCCAGTGCCTTCCAGACCTGTGTAAGCCTAAACCCACTGCTGAGATCCAACAGGGAACTTCTCTGTTTCTATTTGCAGTATGACTTGTGCTGACTTAGGCTACGCTGTTTTCTGTTCCAGAAAACTTGTTTCCAGGTTCTACAGCTTCCTCTAAAAGTGATAAAAGTTACTTTTATTTCCCCTAACTCAAACATATGCAAACAACAAACACACAGCAGCAGCAAAATGGGGATAGATCAAAGACCACAAATGTTTCCAACACAATATCACAAGACAAATTGTGACTGTAGGACCATGGGAACAACCATACTACTCTGAAGCCCTCCAGAGCACAAAGGTCAAGCAGAGCACACAATGTAGGCAAAGCACCTGGAGCAGAAGGAAATCTTATGTCTCACCATTTTTAGGAAGGGCTGCAAAACCAAGGCTCACTGAGAGCACCTCACAGATACAAGAAAAGGCAAGATTTGGTATCCCTATTTAGCAGATAGGAAAACTTAGGCATTGACCACAAACACAACCTACCCCAAGCCTCAGAACCACCTCACTGGAGCAAGGCATATCACCAGCCCTGATTCTGGCCTATGCTGTTTGTCATCCCATGCAATCTGCAGGTCCCAGCTCATGCTTCAAATGAAGATGCTGTTTTATGGAGCAGCCACACAGCCTGAAAGGCATTGACTCCCCTCCACACACACACTCCCTTGCAAGATGCTTTCTGTTCCCCTTCCTAGGGGTCATACTGCTGCAAACAACTGGATGTCTGAAGCTGGTGTCTGAGGCTCAGGCCCTCCAAGACACTCAAGTAGTGGATTTCCAAGGACTGTGAAGCGCCCAGCTGTCTACCTGCTGGCCCAGAGCTCGTGGGGCTGCTCTGGTCAGAAGAGTTGCAGAGGAAGCTGGAGGTGTACTGGTGGAGCTATGGCAGGAAGCGTGCACACCTACCGCCCCAGGCTGTGCTTGCCTTTGGGTGAGAACTGTCTGCATGTTTGCAAACCAAAATCTTCTTCTCCAGAGGCAGCAGAAAAACAACATTCAGCAGGCAGGCTAACTGCAAAGGTACTGAGCCTAAACCTGATTCTGGCACAGAAACCTCCAGCAAAGTCAGTCACCTCCTAGCTAAGGTTTTCAGACTTTGCTCCATGATCTGCAGCATGAGGAAGGCTACAGGGCAAATCTGAGTGCTAAAGAAAAACAAATTCCCCAATTGCCTTTCCCCACAGCCTCCAAACAACCTCCACCACGGGTCTTCTTTCCAAAACCCACACCACGTGGAACCCTAATGTACCTGTAGTGCCCCTGACGTTTCCTTCTTACCCACAGTCTTCAAACAGCCACAAGGTTCAGCATGTTCCACTGCCTGCCTCCCTTTCCATGGCACAGGCTGCGTCAGCTGGGAGCAGATCCCAGGTGTAAGGATGGAGCTGCAGGGGCAGGTGACTGTGTCTCCTGGCCACGGCCCTGAGCCTTTCCCTCCCTTACTCCACTTTGAGGTGTCCCTGGGACCCACAGCACAGACCAGCTGCTGTCCCTTCTGCAGCAGATGAGCTTTTATCTGGCACGGCCTCAAAAAGGAAAGAGGAAGTGCACCAGGCTGCAAGGAGCAGCTCTCAAAAACACTGGGAATTTGTTCAGCCTGTCCCCAACCCGGCTGCGGCAGCAAAGGCAGGGCAGCAGCAGAGTGGCTGTGTTATAAATGAAGTCTCAACTCAATCTGAATTTAGTAATATTTATAAAAGAATATTTATAAAAGGTATAAAAGGCAAGTAAACGGCACTGGGTGTGCGGGGAGTCTACGCTCCACCAACATGCACACAAGAACATCAAGCATTCTAAATATACAGAACATCGCTTTACATACTAAACGCAACTATGCCTATACATACGTACAATCAGAAAAGGTAACAAACAATCCTTTAAGTTCCATGGCTTAACAGTCTCCATTCTCCATTCCTTTTGAACAATATGTCTTGCTTTAAGTTGTCAAGCAACTCGGCCTTTTGGCCTTATGTATCCTGCTCTTCCCAGATCAAAGAAAAGCAGATCCATCTCCTTTTCAAGGCCAATAGGGTCTGGGTCAAAAGGCACGTCCAAGTCAGCAGGGGGCGTAACAGCAAAGGCCTGCGATGGCTGTAGCGGCAGAGGTGCCCATGGCGTAGCAGTTGGATCAGTAAAGGAGCCCGCAGCTCACTCACTATCTGGGAAACCACACGTGTCTGACTGTGGTCCCACAGGGCTCTTTAAGGCCTCAGAGACTGCTCGCCAGGTGCCGAGCAATCCCACTGCAACCTCGTTGTTTTTAGTTGCAGAGTCCCACAACTTGACATCAATTTGGTCCCATATTTCAGGATCATAATCTGTCTGATTGTTAATAAGGATGTGGGAATATAAATGTTGTTTTTGCAGAGTTACATTGTTTAGAAGGAGGGAATGTGGTACTGAGATATGCTTACAGTGATAAGAAAGCAGGCAACCTTGTAAAATGCAGACAACAAGACTCCTTAGGACAATTAGGTGAAAATCACGGTGTCAAGTCAAGTCAGATAAGTGAAGAAACATTACCACTTCAAGCAGTAAAAATGTCAAAAGAAATTTGATATTTAACAGGCCGGCAACTGAAGGCCATGCATTGTTTGTGAAGCATCAGATAAGATTGTGAACCTGGATTACCCACTCAGTGGGGAAACAGGGGAGGGTCCTGCCATCAAAAGCTATCTAAACTGTGTTTTGGAACTAGTAGATGTGCTCTCTCCTGCTTGTGGGGCGCCCGCCATTGCAATCGCGAATAAATTACTACTTCACTGAGATCCTCGCCTGAGCCTAAGTTATTGGCTACAGAGTGTTTCTCACAGTGGAGAACAAGCAACCTGAGACTGCATGGTGTCTCCTGAATCACCCTTCTTGGTTCCCTCTAAACTCTTTTACATTACTGATGGCCTCATCGTTAAGAGTCTGATATTATCATCAACCACAGGGGCTTTCCGACCCCCATGGCCACACTCCCAAATCTCCCCCTTCTTTATTAATGTCAACCATTTTCTCGACACGAATTACCACTCCATATATAACAGCTACAATGCCACGAGCCCGCTACGCGTGCCGGCCCGCGGCAAGCCAGCGGCGGCGGGGCTGTGCCGGGGCAGCCCCCGCGGGGCCCGGCACTGCGAGGGGCCGCGACCGGGCTGCGAGGGAGCGGAGCGGAGCGGAGCGGAGGCTCCCTGGCCCTCCAGGGCTGCTCTGGTGCGAAGGGACAAGAGCCCGCGGGTGGACAGCGCGCTGGGGCCAGCCTCTTGGCGCGCCGCAGCCGCCCCTGCGCGGCCCTGTCGCGGCCTCCTCAAGCCGCACCTACGGCGCCAGCCGCCGCGCGGCGCTGCCGGGCCGCTGCCGAGCCTCCGCCGCGTTGCCTCCCCCCACCCCGCCCATGGTCCCGCCCGCGGCCCCTCCGCCTCTCCCGCCATGGTCCCGCCCGTGCCCTCCCCCTCCTCCCTCCCCTCTCGGGGAGCTGCACCCGCGGCCCAGGCGCGGTGGTGGCGGGGCCATGGCGGACGCGGCGCCGCTGCCCCTGGAGGCGCTGACGCCCCCTGGCGGCGGCCCCGGGGTGAGGCCGGGGCCGGGCCGGGCCGAGGGCGCTGAGGGCGCTGAGGGCCTGTTCGTGGTGCTGGGCGCCGGGCTCGCCGCTGCCAGCCACCCGCTGCTCTACGTCAAGCTGCTCGTCCAGGTCCGGGGCCGGCTGCGGGGCGGTGAGGGGCGAACCCCCGCGTGGGGGGGGTCCGAGGAGGGCCTGTGTGAGGAGGGGTGCCGGGCCCCCTGTGTGACGGGGCAGGGCGTGCCCCGCGCACCGGGACCCCCTCTAAGCGGGGGTTGAACGGGGCAGGAGGGACCCCCGGCACGGGGACCGCAGCGTACGGGGGGGTGAGGACACCCCGTGTAAGGAGGGACTGTGCTGCACTGCCCCAGCCGAGGCCTCTGTGCAACGGGGACCGCGTTGCGAAGGGGAGCGGGGCGCTCAGGGAGTGCCACGGGAGGGCAAACCCCGCGTGTACCAGGGTTATAACGGACCTCTGTACGGCTGGGGAGAGGGATCCCTGTTTGACTGAGGAGATAAGGGCGTCTTGTGTGTACATCAACCTAGATAGTGGGGAAAGAGGCACCTGCATAATGGGGTAATGAGGGGGCCCCATTGCCCAGGGTCCACCTGTATAACAGAGGATGGCACCCTCTCTAATGGGGATCCCTATGTCAGAGTGGGGGACCTACATATAATTGGGAGGATGAGGGTACCTATAAAACAGGGAGCCTTATATATTAGGAGGATGAGAATACTTTCAGTGACAGGGACTCTATAGGACAGGAAACAGAAAATCATATATAATGGAGGGACAAAGACCACATGTGCAGTGGGGACTTCTTTAAAAGAGAAGAACTGAGACCCCTTTTTATGACAGCAGGTGGGGACCCATATAAAATGGGACAGATGAGGATACCTATGCAGTGGGGACTCCTATATAATAAAAGATGAGACATTCCTGTACAATGGGGGGTTGAGGATCCACAGTATCCTGAGAACCCCTCTGTAATGGTAACTGCTATAAAATGAGAGGGACGAGGACCCCTGTTCTCCAGAGACCCTGTTTAATAGGAAGGGGACTGCCCATGTCATGGGACCCCCATGTATCATATGGTAACTGAGTGGGACGTGGCGCTTCAGCAGCTCAGGAAGATGGAATCAAGGCCATGTGGTCTGTCAGGTTCAGGAATGCCAGAACTGTTTTGGGAACCTGCTCATGGGGTTTCTCCTGCAGGTTGGGCATGAGCCACTACCTCCAACCATTGGAAGAAATGTGCTGGGAAAGAAAGTACTGTACCTGCCTGGCTTCTTTACCTATGGTGAGTATTTCTCCAGGCCAGCCCACACATGCTAAGTGAAATGCTGGATCCAGTGTCCAGCTGCTCTTCCACCTTCCCAGCAGCATCCGTGGTCTCATTCTGAGGCTGCACTTAGACGTTATATGCTACCACCAGTTGCACAGCCATCAGATGTACCTGTTGTTACGAGGCAGGGACAAGAAAGTGGTGGCCCAGTCTGCATCCCCCTCCTATGGCATGTTGCACTGACTTGCTTCCATAGCTGAGAGTGCAGTGGGGGTTTGTATGATGTAGGTTTGTTTGGTGGAGGGTTTTGCATGTATTAGAGATAGTGTATCGTGTTTCTTTGCTACAGAACAGCACTGCAATAACTTGGCCTTCTGCCCAGCTCATTTGTATTGTAGGTGGAGCCCTAAAGGGACAAAAATACCATGAAAGGGGAAGGTAATATATTTCTTTCTTTGTGGCTGCAGCACAGGAGAGGCAGGTGAATACTGCCTGAAAGTAGGAGGTACTTTCACAGGTGTGCAGAACTTTGGGGAAGGTGAGCCCTGAGAGTTAAATGGGGCCAATCCCCAAATCAGACAGCAGTACTTGAGGGTGAAGAGCCAAGAGCAGGAGCAGTACAAAAACACTGCAAGCTGGGACACCCAGAGCTAGAAATGCTCCAGTGCTGTGCTTTGGAAGATGATGCATTTTCCAAGTAGATTTACAGCACTGCATGAGGGAGATGGGCACTGCCTTCACTCGGGACAGCAGAAGATGGGGAGGAGGAACAGTCAGTACCTGCAAGCTCACAGTGGGTTGTATTCCACCCTGTTATACCAGGGACAGATTGGCTCCTTTGGCTTTTATTTTTGTCTGTAAACCTGCCTGGGAGAAGGTGGCAGGGCAGGAGCAGAATCTGACTTTGCAAGGTCTTTATTTACCCTGACTCTGACCCTGCAGGGCAGAGGGAGAAGGTCACAACACGCAACACAAGAGATTATCCCACCCTACCTTAGTTCAGTTCAGACTGCCGTGTAGCCCTTTCAGGTAAGCAGAACAGTCAAAGGATGCACTCATCCTTCCAGTTTAGACAGATGTGACAAAGAATAGTTAAGTTTTCTTTGCAACCTATATTAAATTTATTTAGAGCTTTATAATAAAACATTTGTGGCAGGACTGCAGAGCAGTTGCTGTGACTTCCAGAGCTCCAGCGTGGTTTCAGCTGAATGCTGAAGTGGGGCAGGATATTCTCCACAGGTTGGCTGTATCCCAGCTGACAGCAGCCTGGTCTTTTCTTACCCAGCCAGACACATTGTGAAAGTGGATGGGAAAAGAGGCCTCTTCCGCGGTCTTACTCCTCGCCTCATCTCAAGCACTTTATCGACTGTCACCAGGGGAAACGTGAAGAAGGTAAAGGTCGTCTTCTCTCTCCGTAAATCATCTTGCTGGGGCAGACAGTGCTACTGGAGAAGAGCAACAGAGCCTGCATGTGCTTGTACCCAGCCATGACTGAACATGGAGGATTAAAGTACCTGTTCCACTCCACCACCTGGTGGCTCTAAATAGTCCTCCAGGACAGAAGGAAAACAGTGCCCATATCCCCAGAACTTACTTTCTAAAGAATCTCAATTGAATTTGACCAGTCACGTGCCTTTTATCTTTTACAAGCAGTCTCATGGTAGTTTTCCTCTGTTTTACCTTCCATCCTTCGTTCTCCTGTCTTCCTCCTTGTCTGTTTTTCTACTGTAGTTTAGAACACAACTGCTGAAGGTTTCCTTCCAGCCCTCAGAAATCACAGGCTTGTGGGTCAGCATCTCCATCAGTTTTGGCCATATGTTTCTTCTCTCCTGCTCAGGCCTTTCCGCTGGAGGACATGGAGCATGTTTCTAACAAGGATGATATGAAGACTTCCCTTAGGAAAGTGGTGAAAGAGGTGAGAAATGGATATAGCATGTTAATGAGTGATTAGGGAGATCACACTGGGAATGTGCCTGAAGAGCAAAGGAAGCTTAAACTGTGGCTTTTGGGTGAAATTACATGGAGGGAAATTCTGGGTAAAAAGACTGAAGTATTTAGTAGCCATTGTGTCCAGATGTGGGATATTTCATAGAAATAGAGGTTTACTGTGAAAAACATACTTAAAAACAGGTCTGGGACCTGAAGTGGGCTTTCCTACACTAAGGGAAAGATCCTGATCTGTACAGGTGGAGCTTTTCACATAGCTGTGGTGTTTTCTCCCTTTCCCAGACATCTCATGAGATGATGATGCAGTGTGTGTCTCGGGTCGTGTCACATCCACTGCATGGTGAGTTCTGTCCTTCTGCCTGGCTGTCCTCTCCAGATTGAGGAACCCTTCCCTGGCTCAGGATCACTTCCAAAATCCTGTTTACTTGATGTGGTTTTCTATTAGAAGTGGCTTTGTATGAAACTACAGAACAGATGTGGGTCCCAGGTGATCTCTTCTCACTCGTCTTAAAGCTTGTCACAGAGGTCCCATTGGGGTTGGGACCAGAAATCCCTCCCTCCACTTAGAAACTAAGGGAAATCACTGTTTTCTAATGAGCCTTACAGTGATGAGGACCACAGAGAGGAGCTGATTTGAGAGGAGAAGAGGGGTGGCAGAAGGATCGGGTTGCATTTTCCTTCACCTCCATCACAACTCAAACTTGATTTGTTTGTCAGCTTATGTTTCTGTTCTCCTAGTGATCTCTATGCGCTGCATGGTCCAGTTCATAGGCCGGGAAGTCAAATACAGGTGAATGGCTGCAGCTCTGAATGAAGAGTGTGGGCACGAGTGAGAAGCACGAGTCCTGGAGTCAGGCATGCCCGATGTTCCCACACAGTGGGGATTATGGTGACCCAGGAGGTTTGGGAGACTGAAAAGCGAATCTTGTGGATAGAGGTTGGATAAGCATGGGGTAAAGGGATGTGGGAAGGCTGGACTTTGTCCCTTCACATGTGTCTCAGTTCAGCCTTGTGCCAATGGGTGTTTTGGTGCAGCTAACACACGCCTGCTGTCACCAGCTCCCAGGGGTGCAGCAGAAGAATCAGCCAAATCAAAGCACTTTACATGCCATGGTTGTGGCACACTTACCCACTCACACAAAGCCAATCAGACCTCTTCTAGCTTCAGCATTTAAACATAGATGTTGGCAAGTTGAGTCCTGGAGTTACTGCAAATTGGCAGAGCACAGACACTACCCTTCTTCATGAGTTGAGGATTAGAATGATGCTGCCTGCTACATTGATGGCAGGGTGACTTGTGGGGGGGACACTTCTATGGCCACATGAAGCTGTGCAGGACAGAGATGGAGAAACCTCTGCAAGCTTGTTCTTTTCCTTTCTTGGCAGCGGTGTGTTCAGTGCCATCGTCAGGATATTTAAGGAAGAAGGGATTCTGGGATTCTTCGTGTACGTGAGTTGTTTAAATACTGTCTCCTGTAGTCAGAAGATGCCAGTGGCTCTCCTGGTTATGAATCCAATTTCACTGAAAGGAGTTGTGCTGAGCTCCCTCCTCCCTGAAACCTTGTCTGACTGCAGGACTTTCACATCACTCCCAAGAGCACAGATTAAATCTGTGGCTTTGACAGAGCTCCAGTTGGACCATTAAGTTTGTTTCAGACCTTATCTTCAATCAAATTTTCAGAGCCCAGGGAAAACTGTATTTTTTCTTACCTTTCTTTTTCCCTTGTACTTCTTTGTGTTTCAGTGAAGGAGCATTTAAAGCATTTGTTTGTGCAGCAGGCACCAAGATCAAGTGCAACAATGAGGCCCTTTGTTGAAATAAAAGCCAGGGCCTGGATAAGGGCCTGCACATTCCTCAGCAAAGCACCATGGGTGCTTGTAATGAGTAGGTGCTTTGCTCTGGCAACAGGTTTGTCTGTACAGCAGGAGCAGGACACTGCATAATGCGGCAGCATTGCTGCCTGGACCAGCTTGCCTAAAGGAGCTCAGACTGTACTTACAAAACGTGGTGAATTGACAGCATCACTAAAGTGAAAGTCTAGCAGACACCTTTTTTTAAACCCTTTATTAATACTTCTTGACTTTTTCTCACATCTATATAAAACAGAACTACCTGCTACTTCTGTTCCCAGTGGAGACATAACTTGCTTTATTATGTCAATAATAGTAAAGGCAGCTCCAAAATTTCAGGAGGGGCTTTCAGGCCTGAAATATATGGCTTTGGAATCACAAAATACGGGCTTCCAGATTAAATATAAATGCATCAGGAAAGGATGAGCAGTCACAGGGGGTCTCACTCTGTTCTTCCCCAAGGGGAAAGGGCCAGAGGTCTGTAGAGACCTTATCAATCAAGTGTCACTATATCTTTTGTGGTCTACTGCTATTCTTCAGGATCTGCAGCCCCAGATCTCAATTAAATACAGCTTCCTCCAGGATGTTCCATGTGGTCTTTCTGAGCTCCCCTTTCCTCCAACTCCCTAGCGAACAGTCTGTGAAAAGAGCCAGCTGTGTTCTCTTCCTCCGTATAAAATAAACACTTGGTAGCCTAATTAAACTTAACAGTTAACAAGAAAGGCTTTAACATAACCCAAAATATCTCAGGAGGGCTCTGAATTTATACGTGCTCTACAACTCAGCTAGGTAATCACACTATAGTAAGAGGAACACAAACTACATCTGTAAGACCAAACTGTTGCTGTTCTGCTCTCAGCACTTCTAATGAAATCCAAACACATCCATTCCCTTAAAATCATCGAGGAACACTTACTTCTCATGGTCTGACAACCTCTACATAGTCATAGCATAATATCGGCAAATTCTCATTCTGGGTGCATGACCAGCTGGAGAAGAAGACATTTCAATGAGAGAACTTCTTAATTCCCCTGATATCTTAGCAGTTTCCTGCAGCCAGCAGATAAGAATGATGCTCTGTGGCCTCTGAAATGGGCACTGAAATTGCTGTACATGGTCAGTTGTTCTACCCCTCCCCACACTGGGGTTTCTCCTGCTGGATTGCATGAAGCAAGTAGGTCACAGCACTGTACATCATACAGGTTTCCTCATTGGTCTTCTGCTCTGAGCTTTTCTGAGAAGACTTGCGTTCTTCTAAGAATTTGCTCTTCATCCAAATGTCCTTGGACATCTCATCAGGTGTGAGAGTTGTAGTGCAAATTAATTTCTTCTTGATCCCCTTCTGCAGCTCTCAGACCCCTGGTCTCCAGCCATCCTTTAAGCACAGATCCAACATTCATCATTACTTGGATAACTGGGGATAGAGAGGGGTATGATCCTTATTGCAAATGGAACAAGTGGTCTGATTCTGTATCAACAGATGGGTGAGGCTTTACTTGCAAGCCTGGCATGGCACAATCCTGGACCAGCCTTCTGTTTCTGGAGTTGCTTAAGCCTCTGTTATATCAGTGGTACTTCAGGAATCTTCTTAAGACTTTACTTTGAGTTAGATGAGGGATTTTTATTTTTTTGTTGTTGTTGTTACAAAGGCTGAATGTAAAGCAGACAATCCCTGGGACCAGACACCTTTGATTCTTTGTCCTGCCTGTTGCTGTCAGGTATCAAGTCTTTTAAGTCAGCAGATCTTCTGTTGAACGTGTGTGCTGTGCCTGGCCCCAAGACCTTGGCTGCATCTCCAGAGCTGCCTGGGCCTTGACAATACACAGGTTGTCTCCAAAAACTGTAAAAACCAAGCAGATGGAGCAAGCTGGTTCAGAGCATGCTGTCCCAATTGCTTTTCTGCTGCTACAGCAGTCAGAGGAGGAAACAAAATTAATACCCTGCCCCAAAATCTCTAATAAGCCCATATTAGACTTATTTTGAGGAGAACTGTCTTAATACATATGGTGAAACACAGGTTTAAAACACACCTGGATCCTTTTGCAGTGTAACAACTGCAAAGCCAAAGCAGGAGGCCTGAGGTTTGGTGAGTATGCTGGCAGAGCAGATGCTGCTGAGGCTCTGACAAACTGGAGAAACACTCAGAAATGCTTCATTATTGTTTTAGTGCCAGAAGCTGGGGGTGCTTGTGCTACTGGGATCTCAGTACTGGATTTTGAGAGGGATAAGCCAAAGCAGCAAGTCAACCCCTGTCTCTGTGCTCCCAGGTGGCAGCAGGGTGCCAGCCTGGGCTTGGAGACTAGGAAGATCAGAGGGGCTAGGGTGCTGCCCCCAGTTAATCCCACTTTGCACTAGAGCAGACTTGGTAGGAAGCCCCCTCCCTTCCCCTCCCATTTTAATTTCTAAAAGGAGAGGGAGATGGTCATCAGAGGTGACCTTCAAATTCTTTATCCAGAAGAGCATCTGCAAAATGAGCTTAACAGGAACCTGCTCCATCTGTGTCTTGCGTGGGTTTCAGAGCAGTAGCTGGGCTGAGAAGGTATTTGGAGTAAAACAAGGGGACTTGGCTGAGTCATACCCCAACAAGAGATCCAAAACTTCCTAGTCATTAGCATCCCCTGGCTGGAGCAGCTAGCAGCACAAACCACCACTTCTGAAGGCCATGAGAGCTCTTCCCTTAAGTCTCCCCTTCTCCCTAAATAAAGATGCATTCTGGGGAGCAGGGTTCCTTCATGCTGGTAGAGGAAAGGAGGGCTCCAAAGGCAGCACTTGGACCCTTCTGCACCTCATGCCCATATTTTTGCCATTGCAGTGGTGTAGTCCCTCACATTGTGGGGGATGTCATCTTCCTCTGGTGCTGCAATCTCTTGGCTCACTTCATCAACACCTACGCAGTGGACGATAATGTGAGTGGAAGTGCCCAATGGAGGGCTTGGGGGTCCATACGGACCACTTGGAGTTGTAAGGAGTTAATGGGGACGGGAGACTAATTTAATACAAATAGTGAGTTTCAGATAAAGCTCTGTATAAGTGCTAATATATGCCATGTCTATTCAGGGCACTGTTCTAGCTGCAGTTTGAGGTTCAGGTTTGATAGCAAATGTCTTCCCTGAGTCTCAGCGGGGATGTGGTGTGGCTACCCCATTGCTTTCTGTCTTGTTCCTATGCCCCAGGCACATCATCTCAGGCTCACAGAGATGTCTTATAGTGATGGGGACAGCTTGGTGGCATCTGCCTCCTCCACAATGCTTTTGTCTCTCTTTACAGTTCAGCCAGGCATCAGTGATCCGGAGCTACACTAAATTTGTGATGGGGGTATGTAGGCAACTGCCATGCCATTGCTTTGCTTCCTGCTATCTGTGGGGTGAGAGTTCATGGTCTGAGGACAAAGGCAGGTGCGTTTGAAGTCTGTATTTTGTATCCAGGATAACTTTGCTAATACACAAAAGGTAGAACTACTGTTTTTGGCATGATCATGTAGAGATGCTACCTTTTTTTTTTTGTGCTTTCAGATTGCTATGAGCATGCTGACATACCCATTCCTTCTCGTGGGAGACCTCATGGCAGTGAACAACTGTGGGTACGTCTCACATTGAGATCTAACTCCATCCCTTCCTTTCAGCCCCTTGTTGTCTGAAGCCTTTGCTAATGATTGTAAAGCTTTTATACAGAACCATAAACTATATGGTTTCCTGTCTCAGAATACTTAAAATTTTAGATCAGAGGGCACAGACAACAGCAGGATAAAAGTACAAATGTAGAGGAATAGGGAGAGTTCTGGTGGTGCAGTCTGATCTAAACTACACCAGAGGCAGAAGGGATCAAAGAGAGGATGCTGACTCCAGGGAGCAGCACGAGGAAAAACAAAACTCTTAATACAGCAAGCGGAGACAGGAACAGGTGAGGCAGGACCAGACAGAAATACCTCCTTCACCCAGCTTGCTTTCCCAATTCCACTGCTGCCTGTGTCTTCCTATATGTGTGCTTATGGAAATGGGACTGGATCTGACGCACTGGAATAATGCTGTCTTGATATCTGCTCCTTCTTGAAGGTATAGATACAGCCTATAGTCCTGCACTCTTAATGTGTCCAGGTAACACACCTTGTTTGTACACTCCAGGAGTATTAAATTACAGAATCACAAAATGTTAGTGATTGGAAGGGACCTTGAAAATCATCAAGTCCAATCCCCCTTCCAGAGCACGAACACCTAGATCAGGTCATACAGGAATGCGTCCAGCTGGGTCTGAATATCTCCAGAGAAGGAGACTTCACAACCCCCCTGGGCAGCCTGTTCTGGTGTTCTGTCACCCTCACTATGACAAAGTTTTGTCTCATATTTAAGCAGAACCTCCTGTGTTCCAGCTTGCACCCACTGCCGCTTGTCCTATCATTAGATGTCACTGAGAAGAGCCTGGCTCTGTCCTCCTGACACTCACCCTTTCCATATTTATAAACATTAATGAGATCACCCCTCAGTCTCCTCCAAGCTAAAGATACCCAACTCTCCCAGTCTTTCCTCATAAGGGAGATGCTTCACTCCCTTAATCATTTTTGTGGCTCTGCACTGGACTCTCTCAAGCAGTTCCCTGTCTTTTTTGAACTGAGGGGCCCAGACCTGGACACAATATTCTAGATGTGGTCTCACCAGGGCAGAGTAGAGGGAGAGGAGAACCTCTCTTGGCCTACTAACCACAGCCCTTCTGATACATCCCAGCATGCCATTGGCCTTCTTGGCCACAAGGGCACAGTGCTGGCTCATGGTCATCCCGCTTTCTGCCAGGACCCCCAGGTCCCTTTCACCTACTGTTCTCTCCAGCAGGGCAGTCCCCAACTTATACTGGTGTCTGGAGCTGTTCTTGCCCAGATGAAGGACTCTACACTTGCCCTTGTTATATTTTATTAAATTTCTCCCTGTGCAACTCTCCAGCCTGTCTAGGTCCTGCTGGATGGCAGGGGGACCATAAATTATATGATCTGCTGCTGTATAAGTAACAAGCTGGTGATCTGGCCTTCAGCCCAGTGCAGACACTTTTTCTGTGTACTCATTTACACTTATCGCTGCTTATTTAACTCTGTCTGGATAACATGACATCTGTACAGACCATCTTGGCTATTTCTCTTTGCCATGCAGATTGCGTGCTGGCCTGCCTCCCTACGCTCCCGTGTTCACGTCCTGGATCCATTGCTGGAGGTATCTCAGTGCCCAGGTGAGGGAGTGGAGTACACACAAGGCTTTGGACTTCCTCTGCTCTTTCCCGAGGGCTCTGGCACTGCCCAATGAGTACCTGTGCTGCACCCTTTATGTGCTCGGTAACTATCTCCGTCCCTCCAGTTATGGCTCTGGTACCAGGCGTGACAGTAATTAGTGTGCCTGTGTTACCTGAGCTTGCAGCCTGCAATCTTTTAGCAACGGCATTGCACACAGCAAAGCCCCATGGCTCTGCTCCTCTCCATCAGCCATCCTTGCTGGAAGTACCTGACCTCAGTGCTCATGAGGCTGAAGGCCCACTTTCTCCTTCTTAGCAACCAGGGTGCTAAGGGTTTGCAGCTGTGCAGCAGGCACAACTCTGTCCCTGCTAATCTAGCAGTGAGGCGACACTGCAGCTTGGCTGCCCTAACCCCAGTGCTCTCCTCCTCAGGGGCAGCTGTTCCGTGGCTCCAGCCTGGTATTCCGCAGAGCACCCATGCAAGCAGCCTGCTTCCCCATTGACTGACTCCAGCTTGCAGGGAGAGGCAATGAACCTGGATTCCTCAAAAGACCCTAAGATTTTTCCATATATATATATATATATATTTGTTCTTTATGATCCAAAGGCTGTCGTGCCAGAACAAGACACTCTTCAGCAAGGCCTACAACAAGTTGACCTGCAGAGATCTGGCTTCAGGCTCCAGCTTGATCAAAGTCCTGTCCTCATGGCTGCCTTGACCAGGTCACATAGAAGAGTTGTTTCTTTGGTCTGGGCTGTGAGTCTGGAGTCACTGAGGAAGTCTGGGAAACCAGAAAATGCCCAGGTACTAAATAAGCCTGAGATGCTGGGACAAAAGACTGTTTTTTTTTTTCTGCCTGAGCTGAGAAGCCGCAAGAAGACTGCCTTGCTGAGAAAGCAACAACAGCACAGCCAGCCTCCTGTCTCATCTCTTCTGGAGAGGGCAATTATTTGTTTGGCAGGTAGCTTACACTGAGCAAGGTCAACCCTGAAACCCATACTTAAGGTTTTGAGGTATCTGAACACTAGGTAGTACCCCTGAAAGGGAAGTAATATTAAAACAGAAGAGAGAAACAGCCCCACTACAAAGAGCAATGCAGTTCTTAAGAGACGGGTATGACTTATCTCAAGGACGGTGGCAGAACTTGAAAACGGAGAAGACACTGGGGGAGGGATGTTCACTGTACATGTTGACTGCTTTGGGTAGGGTACTATTAGGACACATCTCCCAGCTGGCAGGACTCCTGCCAAACCTGAGCATCACCATGTCTCTGGTGGACACAGAGCCATGTAATAGCACTGGGTTGCTGTGTGGCATTGGCCTGGTGCTGCAAATGTGTTTGCCTTTTTTTTTACTGTGGAGTGAAGGAGTAAACCTCAGGCTGGACAAAAGTTTGCAAGAAGTCAGGGGTCATGGCCTCCTCACATGCAGGGCTTGCCTTTGCATATCAGAGTTTACCTGTGACAGCAGCACAAGATTCATTCTCAGCTCCCCTTTCAGAGGTTTTGCTGGGGGGGGGCGTTACTTTTTAACCAGTCTGTGGTGCTACCATAGCCAGGCAGATTTCCCCAACTCCAACTCCCCATGAAGCAGTCTTTTGCACAGTTCACTGTTACTGCACTCCCTGGGAAGAGGTTTCTGGGGCCCTGAGAAAACTCCTTTGTGCTGCTGTTGCATGGGCATTTTCCTCTATCAGAGGGGCTTGATCCACATTTCAAAGCTGAGGCCTGCAGGAGGAAGGGCCAGCACCAGTGCATGTGGGACCTGCAGTCCCTAAACTAGCTCCCTTTGGTGTTGTGGATTCAGTCCTGTCTGTCCTCCCTTCTCATGTACAGTTTGTGTTACGTTAACAATACTCAATGCATGGCCGTATCTCCTAACACCAGAGATTATCTCAAAGAATATTTAACTATACTCCAAAATACAGCTATAAAACATCTCTTCTTGATTGATTCTTTTTTTTTTTTTTTTTTTTTTAGAAGTGTTGATTTCTTCTGTACAGTAGGATCCTTCACTTGGGAAAGGCTTCCAGTTAAGATAACCAATCCTCTCCCCTCCCCTCCCCCAAAAAGTAGGGGCTGAAAGATTGCCACTGATATTTCTCAGCTCCATGGAAGGTCAGCAATTCTAGGCTGAGCAAACTGCATTGGGTGCACCCGGACCAAGGGTGGAGAAAGCAGTGGTCTTCCCAGAATCACAGAATGTTAGGGATTGGAAGGGACCTTGAAAGATCATCTAGTCCAATCCCCCTTCCAGAGCACAAACACCTAGATCAAGTCATACAGGAATGCGTCCAGCTGGGTTTGAATGTCTCCAGAGAAGGAGACTTCACAACCCCCCTGGGCAGCCTGTTCTGGTGTTCTGTCACCCTCACTATGACAAAGTTTTGTCTCATATTTAAGCAGAACCTCCTGTGTTCCAGCTTGCACCCATCACCCCTTGTCCTATCATTGGCTGTCATCAAGAAGAACCTGGCTCTGTCCTCCTGACACTCACCCTTTCCATTTTTATAAACATTAACAAGGTCATCCCTCAGTGTCTTCCAAGCTAAAGAGACCCAACTCTCCCAGCCTTTCCTCATAAAGAATATGCTCCACTCCCTGAATCATCTTTGTGGCTCTTCACTGTATAGCTGTCATGGCTACCTGAAACCTGCTAAAGCAGGTGTTTGTAGTTAAAATTGTCCCTGAGCATTTCTGGAAGGTACAAAAATCCTTTGCTCCTGGTCTGAGCTCATCAGGTGGGCTCAGCCCCTCTGTCCTCCCCTGTGTTGTTTGATGGGGCCTCACCTTCCTATCTTAATGCATTAGTTGGTTTCTTGACTATTGTACCATTGGGCACTGCATCTCCTAAATCACACAACACCTGCTCAGGAACATGTGCCTTTATCCTCAAACTTAAGGCCACCATCTGCTGATGATATACCTCTAAAATGTGTAAAAGGCTCCTACACCTCCTACACAGCCTGATTGCAGTCACTGCATTGAAAAGTATGATTTCCATTGACTAGTTCACCTAAATCTGCACTAGGGGCAGCCTGCTATTCCAGCTCAGTTCACTGAGCCCCACAACCTTTGCAGGACACACAATTCTTACTTGGTAAGCTTTTCGTCAATTAAATGAAAACCAGGTTTCAAAGGCCTATGGTAGCACAATGCAGATCCTCGGGCTTATCTTGGAGCAAGGGCTGTCATTCATACAATGATTAAATGTTTCCTTACTTCCCCTTTCTAACCCTAGTTTTTCTTGTCCTTTGCTTCATTTGAGGTATCCCACCACAGGGACAGTGCCTGTACCAGGAGCAGGCAATAAGAAAGCTCTGGCTGGGCACTCGCACCCACCTTTAACTGCTGCCCTGTTGGTGGGTACCCAGCCCGGCAGCCATTGCCACTGCAGTGGAGCTCACAGGGACTGGGGCCTTGCTTCTACAGGAGAGGGGCTCAGGGGTGAAACCTGCAGTCAGAAAAATAAATGAACTGGCATGGAAGGAAGCTTGGGTCCAGCACCCAGGATGGAGTCAGGCACTTGCCCATACATGGTCCTGGCACTCCCCTATCTAGCCAGGAAACAAACCTGTATTTAAATATTGACACAGAAAGGGGATGGGTGCAGGTTACAGCGCTTCTGTGCCTTTGCAGTTTATCAGCCAACAGTGGAAAGCAGAGATTGATGGGGCTTTGCCCTCATGTGCTCCCAGGTGTCAAAGGGAGAAGGGAAGCAGGGATCACAGCTGGGAGACAGAAACTCAGGTCAAAGCTGCCCTAACTCTCCTTGGGGCCTGGATGCATGGGTCTGGCAGGCTTTGCGAAGCAGTGAGGTGCTAGTTAAGCCAGGGGTGCCGCAGCTCAGTTCAGACCAACTGCAATGATTTTACCTTCCTTTTTCCCTTGCCCCCTCCAGAGCTCTCCTGCTCTCATAAAGACTGTTCTGTTAAGACAAAGCTCCCACCAAAGTATTGCTCTTCCCACTGTGGAGCCAGAAAGAGCAGCCAAGCACACCCCTCCTAATGGCTGTACAATGCCCTTCACGCCTGTGTCAGTCAGTAAAGGGGCTGCCAGCTCCATGTAGGCAAATAATTATTTTTTAAAAAATAGTAATAACCCCGGCAGAGCCACCTGGTGCTTCTCAGTCCTGCCAGGAAAGGCTCACTATGTGAACGCAGACCTAGTCCAGGTTCAAGTGGCATGGTGGCCCTTGACTTGTTCCCTGTCTTAGCTCAGCTCTGGTTGGCACAGGGACAGAGAGGAGCAGGGTAGCACTGGCAGGGCCTTCACCCAAAGCAGGAGGTTACAGAGAACATGGAGCCAGGTCCTGCTCAGGGTGCAGAGGGGGAGTTGGAGCAGGCAAAGGTTGTAACAGGGGCAATTCCAGCACGCAGTGAGGAGAAAACACTACAAACAGCACAAATGGAGTCCTAGGTAAGAGAGCAGGTAATCTCTGGAGCTGTGGCCTGGCCTGCCAGGCTGTTCATGGTGTCTCCATCCATGGCTGGAAGCTTTGAAGAGGAGGGGAACTGCATGTGGAACCTTGGCTGTCCTGAGAAGGTGTGGAACTGCTTTCCACACTTCCTTTTGCTTTGTGCAGAGCCTTTTTAGGGAAAATCCATGGACTGGGCCAGCCAAGCCACCCCATTCCCTCCTGTATGCAAGGTCTGCAGCTGTCTTTCATCCCCTGTGAGGAGAACCTAGGTCTCAGAGGAAGAGGCCTGGAGCTGGCAGCAGTGGCAAAGGCTCGCTGGGGCAGACAAGATGCCTTTTTCTGCAGCTGCCTGGATCCACATGCCTTCCTCCCACCCAGCTTACATGGTACCGTGCCCCTCCAGCCGCCCCAGGGGAAGGAGGGGCACTTGGCGAGCTGAGATTGTTAAAGTCTCTCCTAGTTTTGATTCAGCTCTTCTCCCCCCAATATGGCCCCACAGTGGGGTGATGGCACTGCCGTCCATGCAGCAACTTGCACGGGTGCCATCCCTCCCAGCCACCCACTGGCAGCCCCTTGCAGTCCCTTGATTAAAACATCCTAATTCTCTAATCTTGGTGAATTCAGTTTCTTCCTTAAAAGCCGTCTGCGCTCTCCAATCCAGCAGCGTGGTTCTTGTCACACTGCCAAAGGAGGCTGGGAGCAGTGTCACATGCCACAAAGTTTTACAAGCCAAGCGAGCTGTCTCGGAAGAGGAACACAAGAGAGACGGACATACGCACACACTCAGCCATGCACGCCGAGAAACCTCCTCTGGGCTCCCTCTGGGTTTATCTGATTATTTTTTTTTTCTTTTTTTGTAAGAACAAAGACTTTGGGCTGAGTTGGTGTGTTTGTTTTCCAGAGCCGGTGCTGGGGAGGGGGAAAGGAGACTAGAAGTAGAGGGGGGAGCCAGCAGCTCCAATGTGAGAAAGTCCCAAATTGCCCTGGCCAATTTGCAGAGACCTTGCTGTGAAACTTGGAAGAAGAAAGACGAGGGAAAAGGAAAAATACATATATGTGATGACGTCACTTTGAGCAGGGGTGCCTTTCTTGCTGCCTGTCAGATGTGCTTGAAAAGAAAAGGGCAATAAAACAACAGCCGCCTCTGTCTCCCTCGTTAAACATGGCACTAATTGGATGTTAATTTCTCTTTGCTCTTCTCGCTGCTCAATTGTGAGGATTCTGCCTCGCTCTCCCTCTAGCGCTTTCTTTCTTTTCTGTTGCAATGCTCTTGGCAGCTCTGAGGGACTCTGCACTGTGTGCTCCCTCCCGCTCATGGACTGGAATAATTCAGGAGCTGGGAATATTAAAAAGATGAGGCGCTGGGGCGAATGGTTCAGAAACAGGGCGGGCAAGATGGATTTTGAGAGCTACGCTAATCTCCCCGTTTCCCATGCATTGTCCTGCCGATGTGAAGCTATTCTCTTCCCATTTGATTTCTTCCCCCCCTTCCCCTCATGTTGGGTCCAGGCTGCTGGGCAAAAAAATACATAGTCACAAAAAAAAAGCATGATTCAATGACGACAAACCCCCAAACCTCCTCCCAGCTCCCCCCCGTCTCAGCGCACCGCATGGAAACAGGCATTTTAGGGAGCCGGAGCAGGAAGTTGTTGTTCTCAGTGTTGCCCAGGTCATCCTTAAAGGGTATGTGTGCAAGAGCAGGCGTGCATGCGTGTCTTGGACAGCAGCCCCGTGGGCACCCGGCACGACGCGGAAGAGGCGAGTGGGGCGCACGGGTCTGGGGGTGCATTGGGCCTTGGGGGCAGGATGGGTGGGGGAGTGAAGGGAGGGACGGGAGTGGCGGCGGCAGCAGCAGGGGAAGCAATGTGGGAGTCGAGTCCTACCTGGGATCGGTGCCAACTTCCTGCAAAGGGTTACAGACCCGCAGCTCGGAGAGCCCACCAGAGGCGAGTTGGCTCTTGTCACACGTCCAAGGCAAGATGAAGACAGCAGGAACAGGTACCGCGGAAGCTGAGTGGCCTCATTTGCCCGCCGACTGGGGTGGCTCGGCCGTTTGTTTTGATTTAAACATGCCAAAGGGAGGCTTTGGCACACCCGGGGGCCTCACCAGCCCTGCACAAGGCCGATGGGTGCCAAGGGTGGGGTGTACAGGCCGGGGGTGGTTGTGCAGGGGATCTGGCACTGCTCACTTGCCTTCTTGTTGTTTGGATTAACATGCAGAAGATGTGCCTGTCACTTTGCTTACTGTCAGCGCCTGCTCAGGGATGGGTGACGGCTTTGTTCGGAGCAGCTGAGGGAGCCGTGCCAAGACGGACTTGGCAGGCGTGCCCAGCCAGGAGGGTGCAGGGACACAGGCGAGGCAGCCACGGAGGGCTGGAGCTGCAGGCCCACTGGGGAGCACAGTGGCTGCTCAGCAGTGTGCATCCGCCGCTTGCCCCTCTCCCACCAGGCTAATGCAGGCAAAATGAAAGCATGTTTTGTTTTGTGTTTTTGGCATCTCCCCAGTAGCGCCACCAACCCGTCTGTACCCCCTCCCCACTGCCTTCCCCGACCCACTGTGACTCCTTTTTTATAATCAGCACAACCCATGTGCTCACAGCAGCAAAAAAAGGTACAAAATACCCCCCACAACCCAAACTACCCACAGTCTGCCCTCCTGAAGGCAACTGCTCCCAAGCTTCCTCTGTAGTGGATGGGTTGTTTTCTATTTTATTTTCTCTTTTTTTGCTATTTTATTTTTTCTCCTGCACTGGGTCTCTCTCACATTGGGTGTTCGAGTCCCTGTTCAAGCACCCATTGCCTTCCATCATGCCAAACCTGGGCAGAAGGGTGCCCTGTGTGGATGTGGGTCGGTAGGTTAGGGAGCTGGCGATGGAGAGCATGAGGCGGGAGGATCGGCGGGGGAGGGGGTGAGGAGGAAGAATTATATCCACATCCCCAGGCCTTTTGTTTAACCTGCATCGACATGAAGGAAGGTCTTAGCTTTTTTTTTTTTTTTTCATCCTTGTGCCCCTTGGGGCATTTTGAAATCAAACAGGGCAATTTTTCAGGGTGGGCAGTGTCGGCAGCAATTTTTCGGAGTGGTGTGCGAGTGGGTGTGTGGCGCCAAGTGCAGGAATTCCTGCCAGTTTGCCTTTGTGCCAGCCTGGGCATTGGTGTCTCGTTCGGATGGAGCCTGGCATCCAGGCACCGCCCATTTCTTGGCGTTGAGTGAGAGGAGAAGTAAAGGGGAGAGAGCAAGCCAGAGAAGAGGAAAAAAAAAAAAAAAAAAAAAAAAAAGAAAAAGCTATCTCTCTCAAACTGGCCTTTCTCGGAAAAGGATCCTTCCCCGATGATTGTCCGGATAAGCGGAGCTAAATCCAGCAGCCACTCCACAACAAAACCACTCTCTTCCACGGTGCGTCTCTCTTGCTGCCTTGGTATGAAATCGAACCTCACTTTTGATTTGTTTTTGGTTTGCTTTGCTTTTGTTTTTTTTTGGTTAGTTGGTTGGTTGGTTGGTTGGTTGGTTGGTTGGGGTTCTTTTGCCTTTGATTTGAAATAACACTACATTCCTCCAGTCACTCAGTTGCTTTGTTGTTGCTGTTAACCTACCTTCTCCCCAAATCCCCTTTACTTTGAGACCCCAGCCTTTGGTGCTAAAACAACTGACTATTACATTGATCTAGAGAGAAGGATGTATAGCAGACATGCATCCACCTATGGGCAGTGCTTGGAGCAGGACTCGAGGTGTTTTTTCCTGCCACCCTAACCCTACTGCCTGGGACACTGGCATCCCCAAGAGCCACTCAGAGCTGGGTGTTGTCACGCGAATGCTTTGTGCTTCCAAACCACTGGGGGGGGGGGGGGGGGGGGGGGGGGCAGAAATATGTTGAATCATGTCAGATTTGCAATTCAACATGGCAGCCATAGCAAATGTGGTAGGAGCCTGTGCACTGAGCCCCAGCCCCAGCAGGCTTGGGTGTTTTGTGCTGGCCACACCAGGCAGGCAATTGGCACAGGAAGAAAGAGCCAGGTGGGTGCCCAGGCTGGGGCGGAAGAGATGATTTTTTTATTTTTTTCATGTGAGTGGTGAATTCAACCAGGAGTGATCTGGGAATGAGGGAACCCCTGCAATCTGGTTTTGTCAGTGCTAACCCTTTAGCAGCCAGCTTGTTGCTTTTCTACTGGCACAGTGCACTGGTCTGGGTGCACGGCCAGGGCAAACCCAGGAGTGGGGTGTGAGGCTCCACTGGCTCCAGCGGGCAAAGATGGATGAAGAAGTGCTCCAGTGTTCTCTGCAGGGAGGCTGTTTGTCATGCAGTGATGGTGGCCTTCAGGCTTTGGAGACGGCTTCAGCTGGGCACCCTTGGGAAGGAGCTGCTTGGCAAAGGTACGGGGTGGTTGGAGAGGGCAATTTGCTTGGCCACATCCACCCTCATGGGGCTTTGTACCTCTCCTTGGTTGCCCAGAAAGGTTCTGCACTGCTGCAGCAAAGCTCTCCAGGTCTGCCTGAGCTTGGAGGCTTGTGCATAGTGACTGTGAATCTGCCCTCTTTCTGTCAAACTTAATTTAGGCCCATTTGGGATGCAACAAAAGCAGCTTGTTTGCAGGTCAGGGTTCCCCTGCCTCCTCCCCGGATGCTACACACTACACAGGTGCTTGGGAGCCATGGAAACCATCCCTCCTCTTTCACCAAATTTTTCCTCCTCCTTCCTTGCTCCTGGTTTCCTCCTTCTCCTCCCTTGTCAAAACAAAACAAAACAAAACAAAACAAAAAAAAAACTTTCAGCAAGTGACATGCAGCTCTACAGCAAAGCCTTTGCCTCCATGAACTGCTGTTCCAGCCATGCTCCAGGGGACATCCCCAAGATTGTCTCAGTTACCACTCACCTCCTAGAGATGCTTTTCTGGGTGTTGGATGTCTTGTGGGCCTAGCAGCAATCTTTGTGGCCCTGTGCACTGGGGTTTGGATGCTGGGATGCTTGGTTTCAGTTCTGAAACTTCCCATTCAGTTGTCATTTGGCACTGCCATAGTGTGTCTCTAAGGCAAAGCATGCAATAGGCCAGAGCAGATGTAGGAAGATGCTGACAGGAGTTTTGAAAGCAGCTACTAAACACCTCTTGGGGTGAGTGCAGCCCCACAATGCCTCTAAGAGTTGCAGACCAGTGTTGTGGGTCTTGCCTGCAGATCTCATTTGTGAGGCCGCTTCTTATGTGTCCGTGGCTCTCATGATGCACAGCAGTTGGTTTGGGAGTTGAAACGCCCACATTAGCAGAAGCTCAGGGCAGTCAGTCATTCTTGGGATCTGGCCCCAAAATGTTTCAGGATGCCAACTGCAGTGGAGCTCACTTACACAACAGTTTACATCCAGACCTTTAATGCTAATGAGACAGGAACTCTTTTTTGCTCATCCGTACAGCTTTCTCCTTGCATGTTATTTACATAAATAGGGGCTGGGGTAGAAGCAGACCTTTCTTTCCTTCTCTTCTCTTTGTCCACAATCTCTGTAGCTTCAGTGGGAGATGCTGGCAGAGGGCTGCTACCAAAAAAAAAAAAAAAAAAAAAGTAAGATAGAAAGAAAATTGCCAAAGCCGATGATGTGCCTCCTGTGACTGCAGTGGGCAGCCTTAGAGCAGACAAAGTCTGAACTAAGGAAGGACACTTCTCACGTGTCCTAAACAAAACATCTGGCACCTCTGTAAGAGCCATCCAGCCAAGGGAGGCAGCTGTTTTCCTCTACATGGCTTGCAGAAAAATAGGGCTCAGGCTTCCAGAACATGGCTCAGCAAAAAGGACAAATACTTGAAACCGGGAGGTGGATCTTTCTGCCACTATTGCCTTTGAATCTGGAGCTTGCTCTCTAGCTCTTCTGCCTTGAGCTCTGTGCCATCTCAGGGGGAAGACCAGGAGCTTTTCCGCAAAGCTCAAGCCTCTCTTGGCTACTGTAACACCCCCCCTCCTCCCCCCCAGCAACCAGCAGAGCTGCTCTGGATTTACATTGACATTCCTGAGAGCAGGATCAGGTCTCCAGGTTTGTCGAGTGTGGCTCTGGGAAATTTTCTTTCCTTAAAAGGGCTAGGTTTGGCCAAAGCAGAGTTTGGACTGTGTTTTCCTTTTCTTCTTCTTCTTCTCCTCCTCCTTTTTTATTTTTTTCATTATTTTTCTTAACTTGCAGCAAAACTTGCACAGGTGAAAATTGCCTGATTTGCAGTTGCAGACAGTGCTGTGCTGTTTGTGCACAGGCCGGCCCTCTGGGGACCATCATCCCCCAGGTTGCACCATCCACACAACCCGCTTCATCCCTCCAGTGACGACTTCTGATGGAGAAAAAGGGTGTAAAAGGCAGGGAGACTGAATTAGATCTTTGTGGATTTCATCCTCAGCCTTTCCACTAATTGCCAACTTGTTCCAGTGGGTCTATAGGGCACAAGCCTAATGGGATCCCAGTAGAAACACATCCAAGGGAAAGATACTTCATGCACCATGGGGGAACACGGACTACCCAGAGGTACTCGATGCTGATTCACCCCAGTACCACCCCACATCTGGTCCTTTGAAGAATCAATGTCATTTATTTTCCTTGCTGCAGTTTTTACTCTCTGTCACCTTTTTCATTCCCTATTTTCCCTCCACTTTTTCTGTAGTTCTGGGTTGTTACTGTGGTGTTGCTCATGGATTCTGTTTCTCTTTGATGTTACTTGGCTGCTGTGAAAGGTGAGGTTTGGGAGGACAAAGAGAGACAAATGGTTTGTTTTTGTAGGGCTGCTTACGAGTTGTGTTGTCTGGGTCTGCAGTTGGAAAGCTGGTGAGATAGGCAGGGTTTGGCACCATAAGATCACTCATGAGTTATTGCCGGCTGCAGAACATGTAAGAGAACAGGCAGTCCAGCAAAGTCCAGCATGCTGCATAAAGTGAGGTCTATGGAGACTAAGAGGTAAGTATTACATTATTGTGATGATAACAATGAAAAGTCACCCTGTATGTAATACCCCATGGTTTGGTGAGGTCTGTACCAGGCAGCAGGGTGGCAGCTTCACGAGCATCTTCCCCAGTCACACCCAACCATGCTATTGTGTACTGTGGCTGCTGCCAGCACATCAGTGTCACTATGCTGCTGGGCTGAGGGACAGAGAAATAGCTCAAAAGAGCTGTCCATGCCCTGCAGGGCAACCCCTGCCCATGGGAGTTAGGGCAGAAGGTTTCTCCCCATCTGCAAGCACCCGTTGTGCTTCCTCCTTCCTCCTCCTCCTGGCTGAAGAGGTTTGTGCAGCAGCTGTGGCCACATTCAACTTGGTTGACTGCTCAGCCAGCATTTCTAGGTTATAATTTAAACTTGCAGGATGGCCTGTGCTGATGTTTTTGTGCCAGGTATGGTGATCTGAAGCAGCTCTGCATGGGCAGGGAGATTCTGGGATCTACACCAAGAATGCATGGAGCGGTTCTTCTTTCCTTCAGTCTTGGCTTGCCTCAGCACTGTGCACCAGCTCTGCCGAGAAGAGGTCACAGGAAAACTCTGTCATACCTGTGAACAAAGCCAGGATGGCTTGGGAGCTGGCTGATTTGCTTGAACTGAGTTTGACAACACAAATCTGAGGGCTAAGAATGGAGTCACCCACAGCATGCAAGGATAGAGAGCCCCCAAAAGCCCCACTTGGAGCAACAGCTTGGGTTGTAGCATTTTTCAAGCAGGCTACACTCATGCACACCACCAAAAGTGAAGGCAGGCGCTGATAAGAACATGATAAACAGCTTGAATATCTGTGCCTCTGCTCCCAGGGTTCCTGTTTGTGGGAGAAGGATTGAGTTGAGGCTTCTGAGACCTGACTGACCCACAGGGAGGACACCTGAGACCATCCCTGCAGCCCTGCTGCCTTGGGAGCATGACAGTGTGGTTGAAGATAGCTGGGATGGATGCAGAGGGACCAGGATAAAGGGGTCAAGGATGTTTTTACTCCTTTCTTCAAGGTGGTGTTGCTAAGTTAAGCAGGCTATGAAACCTGACCCCTCAAGATCAGGGCTGGACATCAGGAAGAAGTTCTTCACCGAGAGGGTGGTTGCACACTGGAACAGGCTCCCCAGTGAAGCAGTCACTGCACCAAGCCTGTCTGAATTTAAGAAGTGTTTGGACTGTGCACTTAGTCACATGGTCTAAACTTTTGGGTAGACCTGTGCGGTGCCAGGAGTTGGACTTGATGATCCTTATGGGTCCCTTCCAACTTGGGATATTCTATGATTCTATGATTCTAAGAAGCTTCAATCCCACAGAAATAAGATTGCAGTTAAATTCTTGTCACCCAGTTCAGTCTGACAAGTCATCAGGCAGCCTGCTAGGGGATTACTTCTGATGTTTTAAGTCTACTAAAACACCTTTATTCCCTGGCTTCACTGGATATGTGCCATTCACACACTGGACATCACCCCAGAACTGTCTGCATCTCAGTGGAGGACATGGTGGCATATGTTGTACTGATCCCCAACACAATCTTTGTTGCACGGCTTTCTCTTGTTTGACCTGAATTCTTCCCTGCTCTTCAAAGAGGCAGTGGAGGAAGAGTCCTGCAATGAGCTCCCCAGGTAGAGAAACATAAGGCTGGCTATGCTGGAGCTGACAGCCAGGATCGGCCCCTGGCCTGGGCCTGGATCCAGCCACAGGAGCACTGTGGGAGTTCTTATCTGGATGTCAGCTTTGCAGTCTGGGCCTGTGAAATTATCTTAGATGTGGTTCCTAGAGCAGAGGAAAAGGGCTAATGAACAGAGATATGTTAAAGAAGCAGGCAAAAGCTTTCTGTCCTTCATGGCTGAAGAAGAAATCCTGCAGCTGGTCAATCTGGATACAATTAGAGTTCATTTCTCCCTGTGTAATCAACCCATCTGTCTATCCCTGCGCATCAGCAGTGCACACCCCACTGCAGGCAGATGCTTCCCAGGCACTGTTGTTATCTGCATTTGCTGTGGATGCTCCAGGCAGCCCAAGGACAAGGCTCGCTCAACAACTTCACCTGTTCCCTCTGCCCCTCCAGGCTCAGCAGGAGCTCTGGGAATGCTGTGGACAACAAACCAACTGTGATCACTGCAAATGGGAGGATCAAGCACCGGCAAAGGCTCTCCAAGAGGATGGTGGGTGGGTGTCTTCTCCAAAGTGCTTTACATTTTCTGGAGTGATCTTTGTAATGTACTGATAGCTTCAGTTTTCCAGACACTGCCTACTCCTCTGAGCTCAACCTTACTGTAAGCAAGTAATGGTAGATTATGTTCAGGTGCCACACTGAGCTTGTGAAGTTGTGTTCATCACACGGGATCCTGAGTACTGGTTCAGGTGTCTGTGGTTCTGGTGTCCTGTATACTCAAACTGTATGAACTTGCATTTACATTAGCTCTTGCTTGTGTCACATTTTGTCATCAGAGTGTCTTGAGGGATCAATCCACTGTACTAAGTGCTGTCCACACAGAAAATAAAGATGGTCCCAACCTGAAGCAGCTTACACAATCAGCTCAGATCTCTCCTGTGTATTAAGTGATACAGGCACCTAAACTTCTGCCACTTGCAGAGAGACAAAACATCTTTACCAGCCAGAAACAATTTGAAGTATGCATCACAGGATTAAACATTTATTTTGCTTTCAAGGGGCACTTGTTGCTTAACTTCTAAATCCAACTTATTGTCATCCTCTATTATATTGTTCAGGATTGCGATTTGGGTCCTAAATCTTCTGATTTTTATTTGTTTTCCAATGCACTGATTTACCAATAAGGAATAATGGAAAAGCAAAAGAAAACAGCAGCACTTGTTTGCATAGGCTCTACATTGTTCTGTGTTGTGCTGCTACTCAAACAGAAGCAATAAATCCTACTCCCTGGATAAAGAGGGGGCTTGGGGTGGTGGCTGAGTAAAAACAAGGCCAGGGAAGATAAACAAACAGAAAAATACTGCTTCTAGGAAATAGCAATTGAGGATGGCCAATCAACTGATGGGTCAAAGCCAACACAACACCATCAATTAGCAAAGGCATACTGATATTATTTCTCCAAGGCATTTTTGCCTCAATAAAGAGGAAAGAGATGGATTTGTGTTACAGTATCTGTGGTCAAATTTGACTGCAATTAGGAATCTGTATAATTTCTGTGTTGGAAAAGGGGGGTTTTGTAAAGAACTCTGTAGAAAATGTACATGGTTCCAGAAGGGCTCTGCCAAATGGGTGCTGAAGATCTGTATGTTGGTGTCATTGTCAGAATTGCTGGAGGTGGGAACATTTGCTAATACTGCTTATTTTAGAGGGCCAGCTCTCAGCAACAGTTCATTCCTGAAAATGCAGCTCTGAAAACTCAGCCCTCAAGTCTGTGTGTGACACTGTCTTGTGTTCTCTTTGCCAGATGGGGAGGAACACAGCTAAATCTACAGAGTTTCAGAGCATGCAGAATGATGTGGAAAGAACTTAATCTCAGATTGCAAATCTCAGATTAATTGCAAATCAAGCTTGACCTCTGTTCCTTGAGCAACCAAAACTGTCACAATTTCTTTTCCATCCAGCCCACACAGGATGACCTGGAGGGAGTCTCACTCATAATGGGTAACTTTTGGCATCCTGATGAATTGCAGAGTCTAAATGGATTACTGTGTTCATATCTAAGGAAGGCAAACAACCTCCATCAGCACCAGTGGTTACATCTTCGTTAGGACCTTTCAGAACTAGATTACATCCTCTGTTGTGGGATTCAGCAAAATGGTCTTTGGATGAGCTCAGGACTGGCCAACATACCAAATAGTTTGGTTTGTGGGATTACTTGCAGCAGTTTGGCATGAGTCCCAGTGATGTGGAAAACAAACTCACCTCCCACCTTAGCAGGCAGAGGGTTCCCTACCACCATCTGCCTTCTGGAAGAAAGGAGAAAACACCTTGGCTGTGTGCAGTCCTCCAGAGCAAGGTGGATATGGGGCACAAACAGAGTGCTGGGCACGTACCAGAAAGACTGGCAATGTTGTTGAAAACGCTATCTTTGACTTCTCTGCTTCCTTCGTCTAGAGCCCCAGAGCTGTGTTGGTGAAAAGAAAATCAACTGCATCTTCAGTTTTCATGGGAGTAAAAGGCAGGAATGATCTAGCATGGACTCTGGCCATTCAACACTTCAGATGTGTTGTGAGTAATGTGATGTGTGTATGAGTAATGCAGATAAGTTCAGTGCTTTTCTTTGTCTGATTGGCAAGGTGTACTGGCTGATAATAACTAGGAGCCCATACATGTTAAAGCCGGTAGTGGAATTAGACCTTCATGAGATCTACTGCCTCAAGCAGTTCCATTGTTTGAAACACATTCAGTTGATTAGTACATTAACTGATTAAACTTCTCACCATCCCAGGTAGGGACTACCTATCTCCCAAAGGAGGAAACAAAGGCAAAGTTTTTACACTAAGACTAGATGTAGTTCATCAATGCAGCTGTGTCAAGTCTGTTTTTGTTTTGTTTCATTTTGTTTTGCTTTCTTCCCAAATGATTCTGTTGTTGCTGCTGCTTCCTTATGTATGTAGTCCCTTCAGACAAAAGAAAATGCTCAAGCCTGTTGGGGAAAGGTGCTACTGGACACACCTGTAGTGTCCACCACCCACGTTTATGCACATAAGGCAGTTTGGTTCACCTACATTCTAGCACCAACTAAGGAAAAAAGCTAACACTGTTTCTCTCCATTCACAAGGAAAGTTCTTCTCATCATCAAATAATTAAAATCACTTTTCATCTTACTCACATTTTCATCCACCCTAAACTTCATGAACCTGAAGCCAAATGGCCAGTGGGGGGAGAAGAGAGCACGTGAAATATGATTTCTGGGGCTATATTTGTACAGGCACATAGGGATGTCAATAAACCAGAACAATGAGACCTGAAGAGACTCCAGTAAATAGCCAGAGGGAAAGCTAAGATGCTGATCAAGTCCAAAGACTCAAACACTAACATAGAATCATAGAAATCATAGAATCATTGAGGCTGGAAAAGACCTTCAAGATCATCTGGTACAACTATCACCCTACTACCAATGTCACCCACTAAACCATGCACCAGGTCCAACATTTCCTTGAACACCCCCACGGACAGTGATTCCTCCACCTCCCTGAGCAACCCATTCCAATGCCTGACTACTCCTTCTGAGAAGAAATGTCTCCTAAATTCCAACCTGAACCTCCCCTGGTGCAACCTGAGACCATTCCTTCTAGTCTTATCGCTAGCTACATCTGAGGTCAACCCCCAGCTCCCCACAACTTCCTTTCAGGTAGTTACAGAGAGCAATAAGGCCTCCCATAATGACAAGCAGGTGATTTCCACGTCTTTACAACATGGTAGTGAAAAAAAGGAAAAAGGAAAAACAAAACAAAACAACAACAAAACAAAGCTAAAGCACAAAGATAAAGTTCTTTGGATGGCAGTATCACAGATCCTGTCTCAAAAGCCCCAGTTGCAAACAGAAATTGGCAGTCTTTTTCTCCCTACCCAGGTCTGATCCAAAGATAGACAGCATTCTTTGCTCTATCTACCATCCAATGACCCCTCCTGGGCAGCAAGTAAACATGCACTGAAGAATGAGCACCAACTCCTGCATTCAGTGATCATTTTCCTGAGGAATAGAGTCTCCTGGGTCCTGAGTATGGTCCCATATGACTTACCAGTGATGTGTTCCTGGTTTTTGACCAGTTTTTGCCCAGGTAGTAAACCTTTAATAACACTGAAAGATTGAACAGCAATGTCAAACATTTTAATAGCATTCACTGCCCCCCTCTCCTAATTGAAAACAACTTCCCAGCTCTCTCAGTAGCTCACGTCCACAAAACCTATGCATTCATGATCTCCTTCCCTTGCTTACATGGTCAGATTGCCCTCCTCTCTCCCCATGCTAATAAGCCTCCAAAGACCAAGTAAGCACACCCTCTTGTTTACTCTTAATTTCTTATTCCCATCTCTCACTCCTTGTACACCCATTTGACTAAGTTATATTGAATAAGCAACAAATGCTGAAGAATTATGCATAGTTTTTTGGAGGCTATATGTGTCTTCAATAATCCAAGCCCCAGAGCATGTCTATAATCCATTCTCTCCAGCTCTGGACCACCAGGAGAGTGCTGCATAGCAGATCTAGCCTTGTTATTGGGAAAGGAGCACATCACATTATTTACACTATTTACTGTCCAGGGAAATTCAGGAGCTTGACATTACTGAGTTGGTTTCCGTTCTCCTGCCCTGTTCCCTTTGGAAGCTTATCAGAGAACAAACCCCTCAGTACTGGCTATGGTGGGACTGGAGCCTGCTGGAAAGGAGGTGCCCACAAGGCCTAGGAACATTGCGTAAATCCTTTCAGAACAGGCAATTTGACCTCAAGTGCTTTGGGTGAGCTCAAAGTCCCAACCCACGTCTCTTCCCGCCACGTCGATCTGGCTACAGGGCTGGACAGGGCCGCTCAGTTTGCAGCAGGAGGCAGGCAGGACGCAACCAGGCATCCCTGCCAAGTGTTGCAGTTCCTGTTAAATCCACTCCCTCCCTTTTCCCTCCCTCTACCCTCCCCATCCTTCCCGGCCTGCATCTCCCCTCCCTTCCCTTCTCCCTCCCATTCCCAGCAAACAAAATGGCTGCTGCAGGGCCATTTTGTTTTCTGCCTGAAAGAGGGAAGCAAGAACGCTGGGACTTGGCTTTTTTTTTTTGGAGACTGCAGCCATGTTAGAACCCAACTCTCCCTTCTCGACGTGGCACCGGCTGTAGCGGGGAAAAAAAAGGACCTTCTGGAATGAGACCAAAGTCAGAGACAGAGAGTGGGTAGTTTTGGCATATGTTGAACACTGAAAATGCCTGGAATTGCCAAACTGAGCTTTTGTATTAGCAGAGTAAGGCTACTCGGTGCATGCAGAATCGTGGGGCTGCACGGTATAGCTGGATGGAAAGGTTTGTTCACTATATTCAATAAAACAGCCCTCCTTTCTTGTGTATTTATAAAGTACCAGTGAGCACTGTTGTCTAATTTGTTTTTGGACGGGCAGATGTTTTTACACATCGGCTTGGTATGATTAGAGCCAGTCATTGCCGGACAGTAGCATTTTAACCTGTTGTGTGTCCTCTTGTTTTTGGTGAATACAGGTTTTGACCTATCCACTGATCTGGCAGTGCCTGAATTTAGCTAATGGGATCTGGAGGATTTTTTTAGGTATTTTTGTTTTGTTTACTGCCTTAAAAGCTTTCATCTTGGGAATAAAAATATTAATTTAAATATTAAAATAAATAGATGTTCCTGGCTTTGTAAGCAATTGCTTTTCTTGCCTGGATGGTTCAGTGCTGATAACAAGCTGTTTACTGCACCACTGTCTGCACGCATTAAGGTGTGGTACACATCAGATACACTATGAACAGTAATGTGCCTTGAAATTTTAAGGGAACTTGGTGGCATTACCATACGATGTTGCACAGACACATGGCAAAAATACCTGAACATGTGCCAAAGAAAAGGTTTTTTTGTTTGTTTTTTTTTACTTTAAGTGATTCTGCATTACCCTTAGTAGCTAGGATATCTTCTCAGTAGTCATGACTCTTTGTTCCCGGACACTTGGAGGAACAGCTTTCTGTCTGGTGGCATAGGGGGATTGGGCTTTGATAACGTGTCAGTGGGGTGATAGTCTCACCTTTCCTGGAGGGACTGCTGAGGCATCTGGAGAAATGCAGAGAGAAGCTGGGAAGGAGAACAGAAAGTTGGGAATTGCTGTTCTTAGAAAAGGTATTTGTCTCCATATCTGCTTGGCTTTTTTACAAAAGGACAGTGCAGGCAGTTGCACTGGAAACAGTGGTCTCAGAGCTGGTGCTGCATGTGTGGACACTGGGCAGGTGGTTTGTGTAGCAAATGAAATATTTTGGTCAAAATATATGTTACAGGTGGACATTACCTGTGTACCTTTTGTGAGCAGTTTTTGAAGTGAAAATCATGAAGGAAAGCAGTATGGATGGAAGAGTTTACAGAGTATTACAAGAAAGGATCTTTCTTTAGATTTTGGGGTTTTCCTAAAGACTTGAATATAAAGCAGTTAAAAAATAAACATTTTTTTCTCTTATATCTGTTGATTTTAATTATTTTTAAGAAATCATGAAACATCAATAACATTTGTTTTTAATTTTATGACAAAAATGTGTATTTTTTTTTTTTCTTTCAGGAAAGTATTAATTATAGGCTAATTATAGGCTAAAACATATTTAAGTTTAGAAAAAGTATTACCTTTGTGGCCAACTCTAATAATGGATTTATGAAGGGTTAATAAAACATAAATAATATAACAAGCGTGTTACAGATGCATATATTGTAGATAACAATACTGGATTGATTAATGATGATCCAGAAATTTAGAAGCATCTGATAGGCATTGAGACAAGCCCTAGCACGAGTAGGTATTCAATAACTGTTAATTGTTTAATAATTCTTTATAAATAAGTGCTGCAACATTGATATGAAATGCTATCTACACCATTAAAACAGCACGGACAAAAAGCATTATTGAAACATGGGGTTGCTGAAAGAAAGTATTTTAAATATTTTTGCTTCCATTTCCCTTTTCCACTGTGCTTATTTATAGCACCTTTGATTAATTCTTCTGCAGAGTGGTGTTTTACAGTCAACTCCAGGGACAGGTGTATGAGCAGCTGGATTGTCTTGCTTTTCTGATAGGTCCACCTGGTTTGTGTGACATTAAAATAAACTTGTCAGTATGACTAGTTTGGCAATTGTATTTTTTGCCTTCTGGTGGTACTGAGCGCTTCAAGAGATTTTTCTGGACCATTGCTGCTTTTCCTATTCCTTGCTGCTGGCAGTGTGGGTGTATGCTCCAGGGCAGTGTTTCCATCCAGCCTACAGCAAATCCAAATACATTTACAGCAATACTGTGTCTAAAGGAAGCAAACAAGGTGAAAGAACTGGGGCAGGCACACAGCATTGCTGCATTCCAGCAACATTAGGGAGCTAGTGAAAACTTTCCCTACCTCCCTTTTTTTTTTTTTTTTTTTTTTTTGCTTTTTGTCCACTTGCTTTTCATTTTCCCACCCTGGCAAGGTGGCAAGGCAAGGACATGAAGTTACTAGAGGCTTCCCCACTGGCAAAGCTAAGGAAAGAAAATGGCTGACACTCAGCCATTTTGTGTCAGTGCAGGCAGCTGGCTTAATGTAGGTTTTGTGTTCATCAGGGCTGGTTCTGCCCTAGTTCAGCTGTGACTCCAAGAGGCTGAAAAGGGTTTCAGAGATTCAGGGCCATGATTTCCCACTAGGAAGTCCTGCCTGTCCCCGGCACATTTTGGCACCAAAGCGCTAGACTGCATCTATACAAAGGCTGAAAGCAGTGTGTGCTTTTCAAGGAGTGACTTTGTTCTGTCATGGTTTCCTCCTCCTTCCTCCATTTCATTCAGTTCTCCTTAATAAGCCAGATCAGCACCTCAAAGCTTCAGAGCTGTTCCAGCTACTTCCTGAGGCTCTGAGTTGTCTCCTGGGGGTCTGATCAGCTAGTTCATTATGAGACCAGGTGTTTTAGGTCACCTCTCTCTCCCATAAATTAGTAGGAAAGCTGGACAGGAGATGTCTTTTTTTTTTTTTTTTTTTTTTTTTTCCAGCATAAAGGATCTTGCTGTGAAGAAATATATTAATCCTTTACCTGCCAATCAATTTCTCCTCAATCTTCCAAAAACATCTAGACAGCAAGACCATGCTGTGGCATACTCTGAGCATGGAGATGGCCTTGCAATCTTTCTCAGAAGCTGACTAGCTGACTAGCTTTGTCAAAAAAAAAAAAAAAAAAAAAAGAAAAAAAGGCTAATTTTTAAGAACTCATGTGGATCTGGAAGGGGAAAACAGTGGTACCACTTCCTTAAACTTTTAGCACAGAAAATGGTATTTTTCAAAGTGGCCCAGCTCTTCACAGTGAAGTATCTAAAAATCTTCAGAAACTCTGGGCTTAAATAACTAAGAACTTAGTTAGTGGCTTAGGGTTATGGGCTCCTGACTCTTACAGACCCTTTTGGCTATTTTATGCAGAATTTTACATAGCTGCATCACATTTAGGCTCTTGTACATCTAATGCCTTAGCAGCAGTGTGCTGGAAGGGAAGTCTTCATGTCTGGAAACAAGGGCAGACCTTGGCTTATGGCTGTATGCCATAAGAACTATAGCTCTTATGGCTGTATGCATATATGCATATATTGATATGCCTCTTTGTGAAATCCCGGCAGGTTTCACAAAGCTTGTGAGCATTCATTTCTATTCTACTGAGCTTTTATCCAATATGTGTGTGGTATTCTCTCTCCCAGGATGTGTGATTCTCCTGCAAATATTAGAATGGAGCACGACTTTTTCTGTCTCTGTGAAACACTGTTGGTAGAGGTGGATATCAACTGATCCTTTGGCAGTGTGACCAGAGACAAGAGCAGGACTTGACAATGATGGTTCCAGTATCAGCTTTCATATGGACTCACTGTGTGATCTTTGGCAAATTTGGTCACCTCTCTGTTTCTTCTTTCCCCACCTTGACTTCATGATTTAAACCATAAGTAATCCAGGAGAGGGGCTAGCTAGCCTTACAATTTCTATAGCAGCTTGAACAATCAAGTGTGACAGTGATACAAAGACTAGGATAGTCATACTGATCCTTACTGAGGATAGCACTTCTAAATCTTCCTTCCTGTTTGACTGCTTTCTTCATGAGCCCTGGCAAGATCAGGATTGTAGTGTCAGCTGCTCAGTATTCCCAAAACCTGTACTCGTTAAGACAAGTATCATGATTAAATCTCCTGTTTTCAGGATTGCTTGTAAAAGTCAGAAGGGATTTTTTGATTATTTTTTTTTCCTCTCAATGTATAATTAGATCTATGTAAACTAGGAGTTACTTAATGTAATTTCCTATCCACAGTTTGATATTGGCCCGAGCTCCTATTCTCTGCAATGGTACCAAAAGTGACCTAAGTGACCTTTTAAATGCATGGCCCATACAACATGTTTATATGTTTAAATAATACAAAACACCAGAATGGGAATCAAGAAATGATTGTTTCTCTAATTCTCTTGTTAAGGGCCTCATGGGAGAAGGTGAGCATCCTTTCACCTCTAGTACTGTGTGCAGTTCTAGGCACCACAGTACAAAAAGGACATTAAACTGTTGGAGAATGTCCAGAGGAGCGCAACAAAGATGGTGAAGGGCCTAAAGGGGAACGCATATGAGGAGCAGCTGAGATCACTGGGTCTGTTCAACCTGGAAAAGAGGAGACTGAGGGAATACCTCATCACATTCTACAACTTCCTTGTGAGGGGGAGTGGAGAGGCAGGTGACCAATTCTCCATAATCACCAGTGATAGGACCCGCAGGAATAGTGTTAAGCTGAGAGGAAGTTTAGGCTGGACATCAGGAAGAGGTTCTTCACCGAGAGGGTGGTTGCACACTGGAACAGGCTCCTCAGTGAAGCAGTCACTGAACCAAGCCTATCTGAATTTAAGAAGCGTTTGGACTGTGCACTTAGTCACATGGTCTAAACTTCTGAGTAGACCTGTGCAGTGCCAGGAGTTGGACTTGATGATCCTTATGGGTCCCTTCCAACTTAGAATATTCTATGATTCTATGATTCTATGGTTCTTTGCAATAGGCGTCACCTGATGCAATCATCTGGGGCCATTCACCTTCTCAGTACTCAACCACTGCAACAACTTATGGCTTTCTTGCCACCAAAATCCCTCTGGTTGCTGTCTGTGGCACTAGCTTAATCTTTGAGAAGCTGAAACTCTTTAGAATAGAAAATCTCAATTTGGAAGGTACTCACAAGGATCAAGTCCAACTGCTAAACTTCTGACTTTAATCTAAACTAATACCCCTGTTCCTGATTGTAACTGCTATGAAGCTCAGACTGGTGTTCCATGCACTAAAGAGGCTTATTTAACCTTGGTGCATTGCTTTCTATGCCAATAAAACTGGAAGAATATTTCCCATCAGAAGGCTATTTGGGATTCAAAGTACTTCACACCGTGGATGGGCTGGGTACTTAAATGCTGTCTGAATCAGTCCTGCAACACTGGTTTTCTGACATTATTTATATCTAATCATACTAGGAGAGGCCTGGCAAGGCTGAATTTGTCAAAAGAAGTTAAAGGAATTACCTGGAATGTGTTGACTGCTAGTGAGAATGACTTCTGGACATCTCTGCAAAGGAACAGGGGCACTTTACAAGCATCACTGCAGAAATATCCTTGTACCTACTCATCCTAAACTCTCACCTTAAGAATTCCATCTAAAACAGACCTTTCAGAATCTCACTCATTTGGGCTATTGCCTGTTAGCTGTGAAAGCATGAACACAGCCTTTGTCCTTTTGAAAACCCCTGCCTTAGCCCCAGCATATCCCACAACAGCAGTTAGCAGATATTCAGAGAGGCTGGGACCCCTCTTGCCTCAAGGTGTCGAGTTCCAATGGGAAGTCCTCCTTTGGGTCTCTGCTGTGCTGCACATGCGACTCCTTTATTGTGCTACTAGTGGCTTCCTTTTTGTTATATCATTCTTTAATATTTTAGGGGAACTCTTTCTCATTTCAAGAGGAACCTAAAATGATTCTTTTAAATGGCCATCTTAATACCTTGCATCTGTGTTTAGGTGTACAAAGAACGAAAAATTCTCAGAAGGTGAGACAAGGGCTTGGGGAGAAGCCAGTCTGTCTCAGATCCATGCTAATATTGCCTGGCTGTTATATAGCATTAAAGGGACACCAAGCCTGCATGTTGTACTTGTTTGTTTAGGAAATGAGATCTGCCTTAATGTACTCAATACCATTACATTTGCAGCCTAAAAGCTTCCTTGTACTCACTTATTTATGATCTGTTCAGTTCCCTGGAATGCATAGAAGCTAAATTGATGGATTATTTTATATGGTCTGTCAGGTTTGTTCTAGATATGCTTTGTGTTCAAGAGGTGAGGTCAGCCTGCCTGTATATTATTTGGCATTACTGCCGTTTCAGGAGGCTTTACTAACTGTGTGCATGGCCCTGGGTTCAAAGGGCAGGGCTGCTGCTTCCGTAAGGGCTTGGGTGCATAAAATTTGCAGCCAGTGTGATTGCCAAGGATAAACTGTAGTCAAAGTGGACAGAAAGAGGTTTAAAGGAGGAAAGAGTGCTACAGGGCAAAGTTGGGTATGAGACTCAGTTCCCCTAACATCATAAAGTCTGATGAATTTTCATGCATTTCTCTTTACAGGAGCCACAGAGCAGCCAATTCCTGGATAAGGGTCATCTCATTGCCTTAGACCACCATGGTCCCAAGCTGTCCTTGAGGCTGAGGTAGTAGATTGAATAGTTGTGGAGTCCTATCCTCCCTTTGAGCTAACTATACAATCTACTGTCTTTCCTAAGGAGACAGTCAGGTCTTCAGTTCTCATCATCTACTTCAACACCAAGCGTGGAGACGGATGGTCCAAGTAATCCTGTTCTTACAGAAAGCCAGTAATGTGGCTGTGAATCACACAAGACCTCTGTACTGCTCTGTGGAGGTGAGGTAGTAGGTTGTATAGTTTTGTGGGAGGGATTGTATCCCATTTCAGGTGATAACTATACAGTCTATTGCCTTCCTTAAAGAGCAGCAAAACCATTGGAGAATTGCCTCAGCCACAGAGGTCCAGAGACATCATTTCTTTCTGTTGAGGATCCAAACCCATTGCTGACCAACTCAGTGTGTTTTCTCTTACAGCATCCAGGATTGCATTATTCCAGGGACTGCTCCATGCTTAAGTCATATGAACAGGGAGTCATCTATATATTAAAACAAATAAAAAAGTCCCTCTGTTTAATGGGTGCAAGACAAACAAGTAATGAGCTGGTGCCTCAGCTCCTGGTGTTCAGTTCTATCCCTCCCCACCCCCACTCCCTTTTATTTTTCTGGAGATGAGCTCAAGTTGTGAAGGGTTTAAGTGTGTTGTTCTTTTCGGTCTATTCTCAAGTGTGGAGGGAAGTGTATTTGTATTTTTTGGTAGATCTGTACTTTTGATTTAAGTTTGTTGAACCCAGTTCTGAAGTTTGGATTAAAAACTATATCCAAGAGTAAGTTTAGCCTGTGGACTCAAAACCCCATGAGCTGATAGATTTTGGCTGGTTGGCCTCTGCTCAGTAAGTGCATTCAGGTTTTGGACAAGTTCCCAGCTCTACCCTGTTATGAAGTTAGAGGGTATTTCTTTCTAATTTGATAATCTATATTATCTGAACTCACTGATATGCAAACCCTAGCAAAGCAATTAGCGCTCGTGTATTTACACAGAATAAGCCAGCAGTTTATACTAACACCCTGTCCTAAATGTGAGACAGGTGAAGAAGAGACGTGAGGTGAAGGCAGCAAGTCTTAACACTTCTGGGTTCTCCCAGGTAGGAAGTACTGACATCTGATAGTAGACAAATGAGAAGACAGCACACTACAGAGCTCTAGCACTTGACAACAGACAGGGAACAGGTTTTTCCCTTTCCAAGAAGCAATTAGAACTATCCCTCTGCTATATTCCAGAGTAAATAGGATCAAGGTCATGAGTGGGACTGTAATGTGATCAGGGCTACACCAGTTCTTCAAGACTGAGGGATGTGCCAGGAGATTATCACTGGCATCACACTGTCAGGGAAATGTGAGATCTGAGACACCGGGGAGCAAGGGCAAACTGAGGACACTTTCACAGATTAAGTAGGAGAATGAGAGCTGCAAAAAGACATTAGAGCCCTCAAATTCCAGCCTTGAAGTGAGAGACAGGGAGAATGAGACCTGGTTGCCTGGGCTATGGGACTCCCAGAAGTGAAGCAGTTTGTTTAAGGCTCTTCTGCTTCTTGGGATGGGGCGTAGCTGCAGTAAGGCTGAGATGTGATTTCTGCAGGCTGGGCAACAGCTGGTGGGTGGGGATGCTGCAGTGTCTAGCATCAGAGGAATGCAGCCCTCTCTCCATAAATCTGGCTTTTCAGCAGTCCTGGGGACCTGCCACACAAAGCTACAGCTTGCTCCTCTTCTACGCATTATTATCCTCTAGCTGCTTGCTAAGGGGCAGGCCTTTCCTACCCCCAAGATTGCTCAGAAGGTAACAAAGAATAGCGCAGCATATCAACTTAATATTTAAGAGATATCCCCTAGAGAAGAATTAATCCTTTGTGTCCCAGATTGAATCAGTTCAGCCCCATCCATTGCACTGATGTTAATGTCTTAAGCAGCAAAACTGTATGAGGTGGAAGCCAAGAATAAAATATTATTACTAGAGATACTCTCTTGTAAAAACAAACTTGTTTTGACTTAAGAAAAAAAAAATTGTCTTTTTACCATCTTGAAACGAGCACAGCTGATGAACTGGGACTAGGGCTGGCCAGCGCTCCTGATTGTGTGTTCCCAAGTTCTCCATGTGCCCAAACCCCTGAGCAGGAAGGGGAAACCACAGCCAGGACATTATAAGGGTGTGGGGCAGATGGGATTGGCCATGCAGCTGAAACCATAGGTCTTTCTATCAGTGCACTCTAGCAGAATCCCACTGCAAAGCTCTGGGGCTGTAGCTGGGCTCCTCTCTGCTTTGTACAGCCACTGTTATAAGCACATTTGTAAATCTGATACAGATTTCCAGATATACCAATTATCCATAAACTGAGGTCCCCACCACAGTGGCAGGGCAGTGGCCATTTCATAGCTGGTGTCATGGCCCATACTGTAAATTCCTGAGGACAGCACATATGCTGCCCCCCCACCCTTCTAATTCACCATCTTCAGAGGAGCTTCAGGAGCTGAATCCAGATGACCTTCTCTCCCCCAGCCTGCAGTGAGTACATCCACCTCCCCACTGGAACACAGGTCCTGGGGCTTCAGGGAAATCTGCAGGTGGGGTTCATGCAGCACCCAGGTCTTATAAACACCACAAATCCCCTGATTTCAACCCAGCTGGCCAAAACTGATGGTTAAATGCCTTAAAGCATGTCAGAGCCTGTGTGATGGAAAATTGTGGTGCTGTGTTGCCATGGTGATGGGCCCCCACGGCACAGGAATTTGTTTCCTGCCTCCTCATAGCCTGCTGCCATGTAGCCCATGGTCAGACAAACATCAAAAACATCAACCCAGTGTCATGGGGCATCCTTTAGAGGTGTTGTGAATGAATGATGGCAAGTTATCCATAAGCAGGGCCTGACCACCCTCAGGAGGCTCCACTATGACCTGGTAGCTGCTGTTTTCCTTCAGTTGTCAAGGCAAATGCCATCTGCCACCCTAAAATACCTCCATTGTCCCCAAGGACTTTGGTCACATGGGGAGGCCAGACAGCAAGAACATGAAGCACAGTCCTTTTCTAGCATGGTCCTCTTCACCATTGAAAGGATACCCGTATACAAACCTGCCACTTCTGCCACACACAACTGTGGGACTGCCAAGCACCAGCAGCATCTTTGACAGGTGATTGGCTCCTTCCCTGCCTACCCTGGAATCTCCCACCAATTCACCTAGATGCTAGAGCATCCTTCATATCAACCCCAGAAATGGGGTGGAAATGCAGCAAGTCTCCCTTGAATGTTTTGCATCTTTTTCTGGCATACCCCACCATAACCATGACCCACCTTTACCATACAGTCACCTTCTTTCCTTCCCTACATCCTCCTAGTTTGGGATTAAACCAAACCATTCCAAATCCCCTTGCTGGCAGGTCTCAGTTAGGGAACATGGGGAATAAGAAAGGGAATTTTCCATCTGTTTTTGAAGTTTCTGTTAGAAAGAACTCTATAAATAGGTCCTTGCACAACTGCATGATTACAGTAGTCAAAACCTTAATGAAAACAAAACTATAGAGATCAGCAGCCTCAAAACCATGATAAAATACTTAAATTGTAGAATTATTTGTATAGACACATGCCAGCATCCCTGTTAGGTCCAGTTCCATAATGGATCCCAAGGCAGGAGACTGTGAGGTACCCAGCTTTGCAAAAAAAAAAAAAAAAAATGACAGGTGTTGACCAAATGTCTTGATTTTGCTGGAAAGGGAAATGCTTTTCTGCTCTTTTAATTGTTAGTTTGTAATTAATGCTGCACTCTCCTTTACCCTAATGGAAAAAACATTACAGGCCTGAAATGTTCTGTCTCTGCCTTACCCTTCGTGAGGCTGCAGCCCCCCTTACAAGAGGTGAACAGCAGCCACTCTGGCTGTACATCATTGGTCTAGTGACCATCCAGACCCAGGCTGGATTTTTTTCTGCCAGAAGCAGCTCCACAGGAGCTTGCAAAAGCTCAGCCTGCAAGAAGACCATGCAAAAACCATGGCACCTGAGCAGGAGGCTATTTCTAATCTGATTCTGAACTACATCTGATGCTTGTGATTAAATTGAGCACTAGACTCTCCAGAGGGCTGTGCAGTGAGGTTGAATTTGCTCAGTTCTCCGTGGTGACTCTCCCACTCCCATCTGCTGGCCACTGTTCAGCAGGGCTAATGGTGACCCTGATCTAAAAACACCCCACAGGCAGCCTGTTTCTTGTAAGGGATCTGGTGCTGCTGGGCTCCTGAACCAGGACTGCAGGAAGAGGTGTAACACAGAACCGCAGGGCAGCCTCACCAGGCAAGGCAGGGGTGCAAGAATAGGGAAAAGCAAAAAGCAAAGGTCCAGTGTCACCATTGCTCCTGTGCAGCAGGTTTACTCCTCACAATAAGAGCTCCATTCTTCGCATGCTCTTTGTGGCTGGGTGATGTTCTGCAGTGAAAACAGTGCAGAAATGCAGAGTCTGGGGAAAAAGCAGGGGAGGACACTTACATTTACATTTTTTCTTTACTGAAAAGATGAAACGGTGTGTGTTTGGGGGTGGGACGATGCTGACTGTTGGGCCTCTCTAAATGCAGAACCAGAAGCACTCTAGCCCTAGGTTTTTGTTTGTTTGTTTTTCTCTGAGCTCTCTTCCTCTTACTTTCCTTGCTCAAAAATTCCTGTTGGGGACAATTTTGTTTGCTCTGCACTCAGCTGGGAGCTAGGGGAATATTTCTTATGTCATGCTAAATCTCCTCCTTCTGCTGCCTTTACAAAGGCTTATAAACATAAAATTGCAACCTTATAGAAACCAGCACCCAGATGCTTTTGGAAAGTCAAAAAAAAAAAAAACATTCAGCACTCCCCAGGAGCTACAATGTGTTTTAGCAGTTCTACTTAAACACACAAGCAAGATTGTTTTACGGATATAAGCTGGTCTTGGATACCCCAGAAAGACAGTGCATGCCCCACAGCAGACTTTCAGAACAAGATTTATTGAGTGCATGCTCTGCGGCTGCACAGGACACAGCATTCTGGGGGGGATAGACAAATACTGGACTTAAGGTCTTTCTCCATCTCACTCATCTATTAAGAAACCAAAGAAGGGACTGGATCTTCTAGTCCCTTCTGCTCATCTGTAAAACTTGTCACTTATTTAACCCACCTTACTGGGAATCTTCAGGTGAACAGAGCAGAAACATGGAGGGATAAAACACACATGGAGAGATAAAACACACAGTGCTCCAGAGAATGAATACCATCCTGCAACAAGGCCTGGAACCATTGGTAACCTCTAACATCATTCAATTGGCTCTCTCAAGCTGAAATTGTACCAGCACACCTCATTATTTTGTTTTCTTCTGGACCAGGTTCCACCATCCACAAAATACATGTTATCTGTATCTAATTTCAAATACATCGTACTCTTAAGTTATGCAAAGAAGGAAGCCATGCAGAAAAAAGCTGTATGAATAAGCCAGTAACTCCTCTCTAGAGCTGAAGGATTTTCTTCTGTGCAGGCACGTGGGTAAAATAAAGCCATGCCAATGGAGTAACTGTGGAATGGGTACATGAAATGAGGAAGCAAGCAAAGGTTGCAGATGTGAGAAGGAGAAAGGAGTACATAGGGTACTGGCCATAGCTATACCAGAAGCAGGAAGGAAATATAAATCCTCTTCTGTAGAAAAGAAAAAAAAAAAAAGCCACACTTTTGGAAAAGGAAGGAAGAGGTGATACGTCCAAATTTGAGACAAACAGGCACATCAAGAGGAAAAAAGAGCATTTTTGTTAGAAACTCTTTCTGGTAGGCAGACATCAAACCCATCTACCATGCATTGTCTACAGACAAACACCAAAGCCAACAACCATGTCTCATTGCCATTCTGGTTTCCAAGGCATCTGCTTTCCCTGGAGACACGGTGCAGCAGGACCTGCCAGCTGCACAGGGGGATGAGAGACCTTACCATTTCCTGTTTGGAAACAAACCAGAAGCCCAGGATGTCTGGGAAGAAAGGCAAAGCACTGGTGTCCAGGTTCACCAGTGTTATGGCAGACACCCTCCTGCCCTTGGGCCTCCTCAGAAGGGGACTGAGTACCCATGGGATGGACAGTTGCCCTTGGCACATCAGAGCTGGAGTGCGTTAGCCAGTCAGTGTAAGTGAGCGTGTCAACCTGAACTGTCCACAGTGTCTCCCAAGTCTACCAGGGTTGTGGGACAACCAGTGCTGAAGAAAGGCTTGGTGACTGGTGCAGGGACAGCTGAGAAAGACTGTTCAAAGCAAAAGGCCCATCAGGATGACACTGGGTAGGAAGAGTGAAAGGCCCCAGCAGGTACTGGGGGCTCCAGCTGTGGGCTGATCCATGCTTTTCTGGTCTGAGTTTGTCTCCCATTCTTCAATGGCTAGAGTATCTGCTGGCAGAACAATAGAAAAACAGGAGTTAGAGGGAAAGATCTGAGCAAAAGAGAAGCTCCAATTCATGCAGGTCCTTCAGTGATGTGCACCAAGACACCCTGAGGTGCAAGGGACAGAAGTGCACAGATCCAGCAAAGGCAAGGGAAAGCTGGTGGGTGTTAGCGAGGAGCATGCTGTAAACAAAACCATGCTTCGTGAACCAGACATCCAATCTGCCCCTTTCAGTGTTAGAGGAAAGAGTGAGGAAAAGGGTTAGTACCACACATGAAATGAGGATCCAGAGGACCAGTCTGATACTGGTTCCTCCCAAGCCATGCCCCATGCTGCTTGGGGATCATTCAACATCTACATGTCCATGCCAGGACAGACTCCACAATTACTTTACCTGAGAGGGAGGACTGGAAAGCAGGGCTCTGACCCTTTTCTTTGGAAGATGATGTCAAACGCAAGAAGGTGGGTTCTTCAGGACTGAAGACCACTGACTTTGAGGAGGTTATATGCTCAGTTTTATTGAAATCTAACTTGATCTCTGGAATAATTTTGCTGAAGGATGGAGGTGGACTGGAAAAGAAGGATAATTTATCTCCTCCATCCCCTTTCACACCTTTATTTGTCTCTGGGACTGATTTGGGGCTGAAGGCTGTGCCAATACTTCCTAATAAGGTAGGATCCTCTGTACTTAAGCCAATGGGCTCTCCAGTGTCTAACTCTACATCTGGAAATATTTTATAATCCCCATCTAATGTGGGCTCAAAGGAAAGTGTGAGCCCAGTTGCCTCAGTTGGGTTGGGTCTTTCTGTTTCAGTTTTTGTTAGCATCTTTGCTGTTGAGGTGGTGAGATTTTGCTTTGTTGAAGTTGTGTAAGTGTGTGATGGCTTGGATAAAATGGTGGTAAATGTTGGTGAGATGGTTGCTGGTTTGGCTGTAGAAGGTTTTGTCTTGGCCATAGTTGGGGTGGATGCTGGCTTGGCCATAGTGGTAGTTGTGGTGGGTTGTGGCATGGTTGGTGATGGCTTAGCCACAGTGGTGGTTGTGGTGGGTTTTGGCATGGTGGGTGCTGGCTTAGCTGTAGATGTTGTAGTGGGTTTTGGCATGGTGGGTGCTGACTTGGCTGTAGTGGTTGTTGTTTTTGACATGGTGGGTGCTGTCATGGTCTTTGTGGTAGTTGTGGTGGGTTGTGACATAGTTGGTGATGGCTTAACTGTAGTGGTGTTTGTGGTGGGCTTTGGCGTGGTGGGTGCTGGCTTAGCCATAGTGGTGGTGGGCCTTGGTGTGGTGGGCACTGTCTTGGCTGTAGTTATTGCGGGTTTTGACGTGGTGGGTGCTGCCTTGGCCATAGTGGCAGTTGTGGTGGGTTGTAGCATGGTGGGTGCTGGCTTAGCCATAGTGGTGGTTGTGGTGGATTGTGGTGTGGTGGTGGGTGCTGGCTTAGCTGTAGTGGTGTTTGTGGTGGGTTTTGGCATGGTGGGTAATGGCTTAGCCTTGGTGGTGGGCCTTGGCGTGGTGGGTACTGTCTGGGCTGGAGTCATTGTGGGTTTAGATTTTGTGGGTGCTGCCTTGGCCATGGTGGTAGTTGTGGTGGGTGCTGGCTTAGCCATAGTGGTGCTTCTGATGGGTTGTGGCGTGGTGGTGGGTGCTGGCTTAGCCGTAGTGGTGTTTGTGGTGGGTTTTAGTGTGGTGGGTGCTGACTTGGCTGTAGTGGTGGTTGTGGTGGGTTGTGGCATGGTGGGTGATGGCATAACGGTAGTGGTGGGGGATTTTGGTGTGGTGGGTGCTGGTTTGGCCGTAGTGGTTGTGTTAGGTTTTGGCATGGCAGTTGTTAGTGTGATGGGCTTTGGCTTGCCTGTAGCTATGGTGGGTTCTGGCACAGTAGGTTTTGGCTTTGCCATGGATGTGGTGGGTACTTGTGTCTGGGTTGGGGGTATGGTTGTGAGTTCTGGCTTCGCTGTGGCCATGGTGGGTGATGTTGTGGTAGGTTCTGGTGTGGTTGTGGTGGATGTTGTCACAGAGGTTGGAGTGGTCTCTTCTACAGTGGATTCTGGTAAGAGATGAAAAACACCATGGGTTAGCACTAGGGTCAACTGACCCATTGCTGTCCAGGCCTCTATGTCCTTGTACTGAGGGGCCTAAAACCAAACACAGTACTCAAGGAGCAGCCTCACCGGAGCAGAATACAAGGGGATGATCACCTCCCTGGTCCTGCTGGCTGCACTATTCCTGATACAAGCCAGGATGCCGTTGGCCTTCTTGGGCACACTGCTGGCTCATGTTCAAGCAAACATCAATCAGTACCCCTAGGTCCTTTTCCTCTGCACAGCTTTTGAGCCACTCTGCCCCAAGCATGTAGTGCTGCATGGGGTTGTTGTGGCCAAAGTGCCACAACACCTGGCACTTAGCCATGTTGAACCTCACCCCACTGGCCTTTGCTCATCAACCCATACTGTCCAGGTCCCTCTGCAGGGCCTTCCTATCCTCCAGCAGATCAACACTTCACTCCAGCTTGGTGTCATCTGCAAGCTTAGGTCACTCTGGGCCATCTCCCACACTTGAGGTCCCAACCTGGAGACATCTCATCTCCCTCACACAACCTTCTGCCCCCTGGGGATGAGGCAACAACTCCTAGCTAAGGGGGTTATGAGGTCTGTGTCCAATCCTCATCTAGTGACAGCTGACCAGTCTCAAGGGCTTCTATCCCATGTGATGCCTCACAGTCCAGGCCTGGAGCTGCTGGTCCAGGTTCAGAGTTTGGACCCCAACCCAGGGGTCTCTGTCCCAATAGCCTGTCAGGGCACATACATTGCTTTGCTTCACTTACCACACAAGGACTTGACACACACTCTACCCTCAGGACACTGTGAGCAAGAGGGTCCTTCTTTGTATGGCTTTCGGCCTTTCACATTACCCCTGGATGCAGAAGACACCAAGAAAAAAAGTGTAAGGAAAGAGGGGAAATGCCAACCCCAAAGAGGGAGGTTTGATTCAACTGGAATATCCCAGCCATGGCAAAACTCAGAATTAATGTTAAAAAATAAAAATTAAAAAAAATCAGGTCTTTGTCTCCTGCCACACACTTTCAATGCCATTTACTCAGTGGCCTGACCCTAGGGTGACTAAAACCAGAGAAGAAAGTTCCATGGACCAATTCCTTCACTACCACCTAGAAAAGAGCAGTTGGTGGACATTTGGACACATGATTTTATCTCCCCTCTACTAAACACCCCTAAGAAGGTCTGCTGTTGCTCTCCATCTCCAAGTGAGTGGTCTCCAAGGCTAGCCCCAGGGTTTCACAAGCAGGTACCCACCTCTCCTCCCATGTGCAACTCATCCTGCTGTTACAACACATGCTTCCTGACCCCTTCCCAGGCCATTGCTGCTGCTATTGGGGAAGAACAAGGCACAGAGCAGGTAGGTAATGTTTGTATCCTTAGTTACTGTGACATCAACCGTGGGCAGCACTCTGGGGGAGTTCCCTCCCTGGACTGTGGCAGGAGCTGAACCAGACCTCAGTAGTCCTCATAGGCAAGGATCAACAGACAACCCTTCCTTCCTTAGTGACCAATCCAAGACAATAAAGGCCTTTCTTGAAATCGCCTTGCTTGCGTTTCTGAGCAAGACCAAAAGCTTTTCCTGCTGTCTTATAGGGATGGAAGGAAGGGCATTTCCTTGCAGAAGCCCGATCAAAATGAACCAAGTCGTGCAAGGCATAGGACTTACGGAGGATAGTAGTTGCAAACAAGCAGGTACATGTCCTCTGTTTCGATTCCATCAATCTTCTCACAAAACTTTGCCCCACAGCCAATACGATGTGTGTTTGCCCAAACCACCTAAGACAAAGACCAGGAGTGAAGGTGAGGTGATTGGATGAAGGCAGACGCCCTGTTGGCAACCCATCCTCTGGCCTTGAAGGCTGCTCCGTTATCACACCAACACCCCCCATGTCTCAGTGTGTGCCCCAGGTCCCACATGCCCGTGTTGCTTTCGCATTCAGAATCCTGCTACTTGCATCTGTCTGGACCACATTCACAACGTAGGGCCACAGCCCACATAACCAAGTGCCACAGCTTTTCTACCCTATACTTCTCCCAGGTAGAGCATCACTACCTCTGTTTTGGTCCTGGGGACCTCCACAGATCCATCCTGATATTTATACCACCACCATCTACGCTCTTCTCCACTCTCACCCATCCACCCAAGCTGCAAAGACACACTCACATCTCTTGTCTGCCTAAGACAAGCCAGCACCTGGCTCTGCTGTGTAGCCGAAAAGGGGTGCAGAGCACTTTTTAAAGAGAGGTCTTATCTAAAATGCTGGTTATGGTTGGCACCATGCCCAGATTCCCCTGTATCAGAGATTCCTGCCTGGTGCCCAGCATTAGTTCCCCATCTCTTTGCAAAGACTCTGAGAGGACCCAGGGCTCTGGTACAGCTCCTTTCCTGACAACCCTCTCCGTCTGCCCCAGCAGGCCAGTACCTGGGTGTAGTGACCACACATCTGCCCAGGGACACACACGGAAGTCGTCAGGTTATAGTATTTCTCTTCCCCGTTCCAGTCCTCCACAGCAAATTCCAGATCCAGTGTCGGAGCCATAGCAAAGAGGTTTTCTCCCCGTCGGCCCCTCTCCTTGTTGTGGTCCCAGATGCATTTCTCCGCATAGGCTTGGGCAAAGGCCTCCAGCTCTGTGTCCCAACTCTGAAAGGACCTCAGTGTCAGCATACAGAGAGGGACATTGGGCTCTCCAACACACACAAGGACATGTGCTCTTGGGCTCCCTAGTTGCAATTTCCCCATTTATGAGTAAAACTAAAATTGCTACTCAATACATGGGTATCCCTGAGTGCACTCTGAGAAGTCCTCAGGAGATGGGAGCTCTTCAGTCTATCTCAGCACAAAACAAACCGCAACTTACAAACAGGTAGGTCAGTGCTGAGCATAATTCTCACAACCTTGCCTGGAGCACCCATAACATCAGCATCCTCAACTCAGTGTGGAAAAGCAATGAAGAAGCAGTGAAAATGGAGGAAGGGAGGACGCTCACAGTGGGTCACACAGGAAGAGAACAGGGGACATCCTTCTCACCAGGGTGGGGATGGGAGAAGAGCAGAACACATCTCCCCTGGCAGCTGCACAGGTCCTGGGAGTACATGCTCCTAAAAGACATCATCAGTTCCCCTGGATCCAAAATGCAGCAGCTGCCTGCCTACCAAGAGCCCTTCCAGCACAGGGAGCAGCAGTGGCCCCACTGCCAGCTGAGTCCCCAGGCCCTAGTGACCATACTGCTATGCCTTGCAGAAAGGCATATGAGGAACCCTACACTACAACCGCTTGGACCATCCTAACACTATTTGATGGTGACAGCAACTTTGCTTCTGCAGCAGGATGGAAGGCAGCCAACAAACAACAGGTCCTCAGTGGGACCTTCCTTGCTGGAGTCAGAGCTGGATTCCAGAGGGGGACAGAGCACAGCTCTGTTACAGGGCATTACCACTGGGGTGTCAAGGGGACACGGACAGGCCCCCAAGCAGTAGCGCTGTAGGTGAAAGAAACACTGAAATAATCCAGGTGGGGGCACAGAGAGCTAGTTGACCTTGCATCATGGCCCCAAGCCAGGCTGAGAGTGATGGCTTGGAACCCTGCTGGGGAAATGCACACCCAGCTTCCTCTGGCACAGAGCTGGGTTCCATAAACAGCAGGCTCACACCTGCAGGATTTGCCTCATTTTTTTAAAAAAAGTGCCTTTAGGCTAGGAATCCCCCCAGTGCCTAACTACTTCCACAGCAACAAGACTCATGTCCCAAACAGAAACACAGCGTGACATCAGTCAGGCATGGTGCCGCAGCAGCAGGTGACCTCAAAGACAAACACAGCACAAGCCTTCGAAGTCCCAGGGAGGAAGGCAAGAATGGCTCTTACATAGAAAGCCTTTAATAAGAAATCGTTAGGGCTGCTTTATGATAAACATTTGTTGTGCTTCAAAGAAAGCCTTCTGCTCTGCAGTGTCAGTAGGTCTTGTGTTTAAGCAATTCGTATTAAACTAAGAGACAACACAGCCTTGCAGAGGGCAGCATCTCAAAGCATGTGATCTGCCATCACTCCTAGAGCCAGCAGCAACACTCACCAGATCAGAATTGCCACCAACTTAAGGACCTTGACTCACATTTTAGGTACTTGAGAGATTGTTTCCCTCATGCTTTCCCTAAGAGTTTGGCTCCAAAGCCCATACTTCCTGATTTTTCTGTGCTTTGCTGTGGTGGGTGTCCATGGAAATTGTGGTGCTTAGGGTTTTCACACCCTCTGAACCCAAAGTCTCTTGTTAGGCCCCCATTATGCCTTAACATTGCCTCTTTCTTCATTTGCTCAGCAAGCTCCCACTTACCAGCTCATGAGCATTTAATTCAAGTGGTGCAACTTCAAGGCCAGATAAGAAGGTCTCCTCTGACTACACTGACCAAAAGAGCACAACACCCCAAATAGCTGTAATGAACAGCTCTCTTGCTCCTCTGCATGTGTTGTAAACAGCAAGGAAAAGGGGCCAAATAAGACAAAAACCAGCACCAGCTCAAGATGTCATTTTTGCTTCCACTGCAGCCACAAGCATTGGTGGGCACCCGACTCAGTTTCTTACAGAAAAATGGGAGATCCTTCACCTCCATGTCATCACGCATAGGTCACGGTAGGAAGTAGGAGCGTGATGGAGAGCCCAAACTGACCTGGTAGTCATGCTTGAATTTGACATTCCCTCTCATAAATTAAACCCCAATCACCTGCAAAGACAAATAAAGCACACTAGGTGACGCTTCACACAGGTGGTGGAACAGGATTCCTCCTCCAGTTGCAGGGCCCCACTTATTGCAAGGTCTCAGTGCAAGCGCTTGCCTTTCCTATCCATCACAAGGAGCTCCAGCTCCTTGTGAAAGCTGCATTGCTCTCACAGAGCATCAGGGGACTCAGATCACACTTGTGAGCTTCCAAAAATCATCAAAGTCAACTCTACACCAAGTGAAAGGAAACTCATCTTTTAGAGGCAATTTAGGGAACCCCTACATTAATACCAAATTGCAAACCCACACAATAATTGCTCTGCCTCCCAAATCCCTGCTAGCATTAAGATTCAAGCTTGCACTACACAAACTCCCTCTGAAATCCCCCTCACAGTAAAAGCCACTTACCATCTTCAGCATATCCATAGCAGGAGGAGAGACCTGGGAGCGGTATTTATTATGCCCATCCAAGATTATCCTCTTTTCTTCATCAGTCAGAGACCAGCTTAGCTCCAGTGCAGTGAGCAACAGGAAAACAGGAGGAAGACCTGTGCTCAACATCATGCAGCCAGCTTCTGCTCTTAGCAGCCCACAGCTCTGGCAGTCAGATTTAAAGCACCTCCCAAAAGCAAGGAACACCCAACAGCTTGAAGACTGGGGAGGAAATGTATTTATTAGAGGAGGATTTCAGAGCCACATGGAACACACCCATCTCACATATCAAACTTGATAGAGAAGCAGCAGTGTCTAGTGCCAATGAGCTCGCAGGGTCCACTCCCTGAGACAGACCCTGTGCATGAATCGTAATTCCCTGCACTGGCGTTTTCATCCAAACCTCTGCTACTCCAAATCTCAGACATTGCTTTAATCATCAGTTATAGGGTTCCTTTTCTATGTTTTCTCCTAAACTGCAATAATTCCCAAGCAACTAGCAAATAAATGCAAAGCTCCATTTACACAAGGGTCTTCCCCCGTCACTGGGGCACAGCCATTTCTAGAAAAGGCAACAAGATGCAACTGCTGAGAATGGTTTGCAGCCCTGTAACCCCAGTGCTGTAACCAGGCTGGGAGTCAGACCCACCTTGTCCTGTCCCTGTACCTGTACACTGATCATGCCACGGGAAAGCAGCAGGTAGCTGGAAAACAGCCCCTAGGCTCTCCCAGCCCATTAGGAAGGCAGAGGGTAGCAGAGAGTTGATGACCCTTCCCCACGCCATCAGGAAGATGAGGGAAGGAAGAACAGGATGCGAAGGTGAAATGACCCCCAGAAGAGGAGTTAGCAGGCTCCAGGTCTGGCTGGAATACTAGACCATTTTCTCTGCAGGGACAGACTGCTCCATCCCTAGCCAGACACCTGGCGGGCTCAGGCTGAGGTGTCTTGAATTGCATGCCACACCACTTGCCTTGGGGACTGTCTGGCAGAAACCATCCCACACGCCTGCCACCTTTTCCTCCCCATCTGCGATTGTGCAGTCACTCCAGCTCTGCTCCTGGATCTGCCTTTGGGGATCACAGGCTATTAGAAAGGATCAGTGAGTGGGCAGCCCTAGCTAGCAGAGCCAAGTTAATCACACAGTCTGCTCTGCCCCTCCCCCTGCCCCTCCCCTCCCACTTTGCACCGCTCTGATCACCTCTCTTGCCACAATTGCTCTCCTACTGCCCCTCCAGATTTCTTACCTCTGTGCATTACCTTCTCCTTCATTAGGTCCAGAGTTTACCATGCTCTCAGTAGCCCAACAATTTCTGCAAGAAGGGTCTGAGTCTTCAAATGAGAGGTTCATATTTATCACTAAGGTCAACTACAGGCCTGGAGTCTGGGTCAAGACTAAAAGGCAAATCTGTCCATCAAAAGACATCTCAGCAGCTCTGCTGCTGCATCTCTGGAGACCTGGAGAAACAGCTAGAAAGGAACAACACTGGATCCCCTCTCCTACCAGCGAGCTCACTATGACCTGCCTATGAGGAACAAGGCAGTGCTAAGACGCCAATGAACTTGCTGATGTCTCCAAGTGACGCAGAGGTAAAGAGCCAAGCAGCAAGTGGTCCCTGGCTCTATAGAATCCTAATTAGGCCTTACTGAAGATAGCATAGCAACAAGAAATAAAAAATCGGGGGACACAGTGCTCTCCAAGAAAATAGGCCTGGAAGAGTCACAACCAGGGCATGTGGCTCATGGGGAGATAATTCCCAACTTCCCAATCTGCCCCAACGGCTCTTTTTGAAGCCAGCATCTGAAACATGGAGATTAGCAGCATACGGTCCAAGCCCCACCCTGGAGCTGACAAGCTCATGTCCAGACAGCATTAGGTAAGTGCAGGAGGAATGCAGATTTCCTGCTGCTCACTCAAAGAACAGCCAGTCCACTGCAGCCCTGGGAGCCAACAGCCTCAGCACAAGACAGGAGCAATGTGCTGTTACCTGATGGGTTGTAAAGGGCTCAGCTCAACACTGGTGGACTCCAGAAAGGCACTGCAGAAGAAATGAAGCCGGGTTTCCTACTGATTCACATTCTGAGGGTCTTCAGCATGGCTTCTTGGGTGTCTAACAAAGCTAGCACATTATCCTGATAGAAGTGGGATCTTTCTCTTCTACTTGCCTGCTTTTATCAGATCTGGAAGAGACTATCATCTTCTAACTCTCTGTCAAGGTTTGGCTGAAATATGCTGAATTGTGAAGGAGTGACAAAGGCTGTTAGTTAGAAGGACAGACATAGCTGTTGCATAACCTTTGCTTAGGGAATCAGGTTAAAACTGGCAAACTGTTTTTAAAGCACTTCTTTTGACATTTTCCAAACAAAATTATTCCAACTTTAAAGTTAAAATGACATTTCCACAAAGTGCCCTAAAAGAGGTTAAATAACCCCTCAATAGCTGACACGCAACATGACAAAAATCAGAAGAGGGAAAAGGTTCATTAACACTTCCATTTAATTGCAAAAAGTAAAAACTTTTTATTCTTCTTCTCTACATACAAATCTCATTTATTTACACACTTTACAGGCTTTTCCCAAGTATTTACAAAGTTTGCAATATATTAAATTACAACAATCCATAAAATTCTGCATTAATTGCATATTTACATTCTTTTTATTTTTTATCCACCACTGAATTTATAGTGTACAGCATTGAAACAGTCTTTACGCATATATAGCTTTACTTCCCAGCACCCCTGAGCCTTTATAACATGACTCCTCTCCCCACAGAGAGAGAGAATTCTAAAAATAAATCACCTGTCATTTGTTTGAATCTTCAAAGGAAAGGGGAAGACCAGCATCTCCCTTGTTTAACTCAGCAGGACATTAAATATATCCTTTATGAGAAGTAGTTTCCTGAAGACAAGAATATATAACTCTACATATAAAGTTTAGGAAGAGGAGAAAGGTTTCCCAGAAGTAGAAGTTCTCTGCACACCCACTGCAAGGCCCACCAAAATGATCTGGCCCCAGAAAGTGCTCAGCTCTGTGGCTCCCAAGGGAACCAAGTGGGAGCCAGAGAACCTGGACCACTGAGCCCAGGATTGGACAGATCCTGTAGACTTCACTCTCCAGAGCAGCATTACTGGTGCGAGCAGGAGCATCACGTTGCTGAGATGCTGGCATTCACACCTCGAGGAACGTGCTTTACCACTCTCCATCTCATCTCACTAAGGGAGTTCCCATGCTGTGAGCAGGACTGCTGAGAAAGGCGTGCAAGGCTTGCTGCTGGAAAGTCAGGGAGGCCAAGCCAGAAGAGAAGGGAGGTGCTTTTATCCAGCCCTGTTCCTTGCAGTAAAACCAGCTTCCCTGACAGACTATTACAACAAGAAGACTAGCAGGAGAAGTTAACGGCCCAGGATACACAGGAAACTTGACCGTAGAAAGCTCTCCAGAACATTGCAAAGGGAGTTTGGGGCTGGGATCTGCAGAGCTGCCCCAGAGGAATGTGTGTGCACAATGCCAATGGGGAGAGGAAGAAAGACAGAAAGGAATCAACAGAAACTGGCAGCTTGCCCCCCACAGGGGATACTGATTTCCTGTTACTGAAGAAAACAGTACTCCTTTCTCCTCCTTTCAATTACCCTGAGTTCAGGGCTGAGTGAGAGCAAAGGTCAATGACCCCTGCTTTTGGAAACTATCTTTAAAACACAGTCCAGATGTGGCACAGTCCAGGGTGGCAGCCCATCTCTCTATCTTGACAAGCAGAAGAATGACCCCTACACATCTCCGCCCACTAGGTTCTTCGGTAGCACCAGTTTCAGGGCCTCACTAGTGTGATTTCAGAGCACCTTTGCAGTCTGTGGGATTTCAGGTGTGCAGACATCCCTCTCCCAGCTTAGACGTAAAGCGCTCTGAAGCATTTGAATAGATTTTTAAAATGAGGATGCACATATTTACCGGGCACTCCTCTGAGCTGGCCAGTAAAGGGGAGTATTATGCAAAACAGCACACACACTTGGATATACAAGTGCCAAAGTGAAGCTAGTGGCAAGGGAGACTGTGTTGGGAGACACACCCTCTGTGACTCATCCAGATCATGTTCATTGCTACAATGTCTCGATAGCTGAGAAAATGGACACATTCTACTCCAGTTCTACTCCAGACTGAGCAGCTCATTAGGAATTGCCGAATTCCCTAGGGAGGCCACAGACTTTGGTAAGGTTGTGTGAAGCTGAAGCCGCTGATGAGGAAGATGGCCACTTGACCAAGATGCCAAAACCTCCTTTTTTTTCCTTACCCATGTCACAATGCAGAAGGCATTAGCATAACCTTTCTGGCAGTTGATTACAGGAGCTACTCAAGATGCTGCACTATAGATTGAGGCTCCACGCTTGACAGCAGCTATGGCCAAAATCAGCTCTTTATCAGCAAATAATTGCCGTCCTGTTTCAGTGTAGCAGCCAATTCCTTACAGTCCTTGGAAGAAGAAGAGAAAATATACTGGAAGTTTAAAAACAAATGATGTAAACTCCAAAGGGAGTAAGGTTTGGACATATGCAATATATCACCTAGACACAGATTTGGAAACTTATGAAGACACCATAAAGTGCACTTCAAAAGCTGACAGTCCAGATTCACCATCATCAGTCCAACCAGCTGTAACACACTGAGGAGGGGAGAAGCAATATCTAAAAGCACCTTTGCTAATCAGGCACAATTTTGCTCTAGCGCCCCTCCTACCCTCAACCTAAACAGCAGCTGTAAATAGATCCATTTTCTCTGCTATTTCTCAAAGGAGCCAGACAGCCACAATGACTTAAGTATGACTCCCAAAAAGTAGGCATTTCACAGATACTTGAGAATTGTCTCTGCAGCTCTTTTACAAGTTTCATTCAAGGACACTTAGAAGTAACAGCATCACCAAATCACCTGCAATCTCTGCAACAAAAGGTCCAAGCAGGTTCTTCCCGTATACAACTCCAACCCAACGAAATGGATAAGGTAAAAAAACAGTAAGAGGTGAAGTAACCTTGTCAGTCTTTGACTTGAGAAGTGCCAAAGTGCAAATAGCAACAGTCACTAATGTGGGCCCTCTGATGATTCTGCCATCACTGAATTCCCAAATTTCCATTAACTAAGACCCAGGCTTTAAGAAGAGCGAGAGGGGTGGTGTGTGTGTCTTGGCATGTACAGGACTGTATGTAGTGTCACAAGTCCAAAACACACTCCAAGCATTAACAATACTAACATAACTCTTATTAATTCAGTTCCCTTTGACAGCTTTGCTACAAATTAAATGTCGTCTTCTGTTCTGACTCAGTCTCTCCCTCTTTAGTTCTACTATATCTGATGTATGTCAGTTCAGTGTCAAGGACCAAACACACTGACACAGGTGCTGAGGTTGCTCTCATTAGCTTACAGGAAAAAAACAAGTGTTACGCATAGAAATATTTGTAATGCAGACTAAACTCTCCCAGGCTAAACTCTTTGGAGTGATCTGGACTGTCCTCTGCCTTATCTTTCTTAAGGAGCCAGACATGGTCATCCAATTTGGCAGCTTTTGTCAGTCCTTAATATGATTAGTAAGACGTTTGCTCCCATTCACCTGCTTTTGCTCAAAAGCAAAGGCTGGGTAGACATTTTTCCAATTGGTCATTTTAAGTGTACCTAAACTATTTACAGAGAAAAAGGTTCTTGCTTCTAAGAACAGAGTTAGCTTGCTTTCAAACAAAACCCATTCCAATTTCATAGTAACAAGTGTGAGAGTATGTCCTGAACCCCAGCCCTGGCCTATGAGTTCAGCTTTACACATCTGTAAATGATCTTCAACAGCAGGAACAGACCCAAAGGATCAAACTTGGAAGGGACTGCAGCATCCACAGTCCGCAAACACTGAAACCAAGTCTCTCAGGATACTGGATAATGCAGTGCTCAAGCAACAGGAAGCATGCAAAGGCAGCTTGGAAGGAACTCAGGAAAAAATCAAAATTCATTCTGAAGACAATGTATCAGATCTGGAAGAAGTTGGTACAAAAAAGACAGTGACAAGGAGATGTTCTGGTGCTCCTGCAGGTACCCCAAGTCAGGAACACAGGCAGTACTTCTCCTAACAGAATATATATGAAAACAGTCATGCAACCCCAGTATCTTAGGTGCACAATCACAACATGAACTTATAAAAAGCTTCTTTGCACCCAGCTCCACCTCCATCCAGAACTACTGCACTCCTAGCACCATGACCACCAAAACTTGCATCGGTGTTTTTATAGGAAAGGAAGTGGGGGCGGAAAAAAGCACAGTTACTATTTGACTCAATTACAATTTGCTGATAGAGAACAGTAGAAGAGCGATCACAAGACACAAAGAGCCCTGAACAGATTAATTTGGTCCAAGAACAATGCTGTGGGTGAGTGTCCCTGCCACTAGGTTGGGAGGCTCATGTCAGCCCTGAAGCACAGAGCTCAGGTTGGCTTTGCAGGGCACACTGTTGAGGCACACAGCCATGAGCGTGATGGAGAGATGGAGCAGATGTGGGACATATCAATTCCCTTTATAGAGCTGGCCTGCCAACACAGGCTTCAGGCTTCCTCCCCAGGAGGAACGTATACAGAAATGTCACACAGACCCCTCCACTCCTAACCTCCTCCCACAAAGATTCAGAAGTGCCATAATCCACAAAGGTGAATCTCATCCTGAGACATCCCTCTGTTGCTCCTGGAAAACGCCTTTGCTGCCAGCCCAAGGCTTACCTGAGGGGACAGGGAAGGTCATGAATAGCTTGAGCTTCTCCCAAAATACATCTGAGGAAGGGCAAAGGATCAGGAAAACAGTCATTTTTTAACACTGTAAACATGCAAGGTGGCAAAGCTGCCTGCCACAGTTGCCCCAGGTCTATCGCTTTCAAGATGTTGCCTTGGCTTCACAGCTGAAAATCTTCTTGTCCTGGAAGTAGTTGTTTTCCCACCCACTGTCCTTAGCTAGCAGCTCCATAACAAACAACCGCCGGCTCTGTCCCTTTGGCCATGAAGCTCATCATCCAGTAATCTGTGCTGGCATAACCTTTGGAAGACACATTAGATGAATCAATGCCTAATCATTGCTCACATTTCCCACAAAGTGGTGGGGGTATGCAGACACTCTTTGTGAAGAGCCTGCCCTCTGTGCCACACTGGGTTTGTAACACCTCACAGAGCACAGTCTTGCTTAACCCCAGCTGCCCAGTGTTAGGCATCTCTGAGTAACCCCAACTACCCATTCAGCATCTCACAGTATCCAGTTGTTTGTGTTCCAGGCCATGAATTCCCACATTCAGAATAATCACATTCATATCTTGCTGCGAACACTGAAGGCACACGAGTTCAGAGGTGGTAATGGCACACATCACCTTCTCAGGTGTCAGTTATGACAGATCCAGCTGGAAGAAGTCTCCTGGCTTTAACGGATCTCACAGACCCTGCATACCACAGTGCAGATACTCACCCAAATCTCCAGCTTCCAGCTCCACCTTGAACATCTCACAGTGTTCTCTGCACTTGTCCAGAGGTACAACAGTCAGAGTGAGCTGTCCGCTTCCAACAGCAAAGAGGCCATGCAAGCTGTAGCTCTAGGATGAGAGCAGAATATTTCAGAAGCCTTGACAGACCCTTTTCTTGGGTCTGTCTAATCAAGAGACAATCACTGCCCTGAAACAAGGCAAGACAGCACAAATCACAGGTTTGCTGCTCCCCCCAACTACCAATAGATCACGGCAAAACTCTCCAAGACAATGCAGGCCCTCCACACCCACAAAACCTCACATGAAAACAAAGGAGGAGATCAGGCTAGAAGAACCCATTTCAGTGATGTGCCTCCATGGCAGGTATCTCAGAATAGATGAAACTTATTGCCAGGAATTGCTCCAAAAAAGCACTTCTCAAATGAATTGTGCCCCATTGCACATACAAAGTCCATCCCTTCACCACTATAGTGCAAGGCCAGGACATAAATTTGAGTGGAGCTGGGACATCCCATGGGTATTTCTAATTGCCAAGGGAGATGGACACAGTGTACTAGCAGCACAAAGCTATACACAACACACCTCCTTCCTCCTCCTGAATGGTACAGCAACTCTGAGATGCCATATTACACAGGGATGGAAAGAACCGCTACAACTCTGCATCCACTGAAAATGTCCTGCAAAACCCCTAAATGTGTGAAGCTTATGGATGACAACTCACAGACAGGGAAATAATGTGATAGGGATGAATTTCTCACCTTATTCCCCAAATCTGGATGGCGTATGAGGAAGCAAGTCTCTAGGGACACTGTCTTGTGGAAAGACAATGAAGAGGAAGTGGGGAAAAATTCCTGCAGAATCTGAGTTCTGTCTACAGATTTGCTCCTAGAAAATAAAAAATCCAACCTGTATAAATAAAACATGTAAATATATAAATAAAACAACCCGTATTAGAGAAAGATCACATTATGACAATGCTTATATTTAAGTCTACATCCAAGATCAAAATTGTTCACTAAGATCAATGCTTGATAAACATGGAGGCTGATACACTCCCCCTTTTTGGAGGGGAAACTGAGGCAGAGACTAGAGAAGCTAAAAGAGCACAAACATCACTCCTAAGAGCAAGATTGGACTTTTCAGCTGATGAACCTGCGCTCCTTCATATCCTTTTAGTACCTGCTGCAGGCCCATATAAACAAGGAACAAACACATTGCCTTAGATACCTAAGAATTTTCCTCCTCTCCTTCCCTCAAAATGATCCAAATTGTCAATCAGAGCCAATAATTACAAAAATGCAGAGAGGTGGCATTGTATGCAACCATAACTGAGACCACATGGCAAGGTAGTGGGGGTGATGGTGGAGGTGGCATGTCTAAGCATATTCTCTAGGCCGGGCAATACAGCTGGAAAAGGCAGGGTTGGGTCTGTTATTTTTACTGTTCTGTAAAGTGGCTTGACATGATTAATACTGTTATACTCCAAGTCTGTCTGCACAAACCAAACAGGACACTACCTGGCACGTTCGTATGAGCAAAGGAGCAGTCTGCTCCACTGTGGCACCTTCCCATGTTACTTCTTATCCACATGAAAAGACTTTGCTAACATACAGGGTTGCTTCACAACCTTAGAGAGTTCTGAATTGTTCAAATGTCTTGTAGTCACTCTAAAAGCTGTACCACAGTTAACAGAGGTCCAGGATTAGGCCAGGCTGTTTTTCCTGAATGAGACCAAATACAAATTACAGGATCCATTAGTGTTCTGGTACTTCTCAGTGTTTTGCAAAAGTCATGGTACCTTTTCTCAGTTGATATTAAGGGTGGAAAATTTTCCAGAGGTTACTAGAAACGTAAACCGGTTGCCACAGACCACAGCCCAGATGATTAATATACGGCCTAAAGAATAGGACTGAGCAGTCACTAGGATATTTTTGTCTTGAAAGGGGAGCAACACATGAAGTCCCAATGCGTAACATTCCATTTTTAGTGCACAAGTATTCTGCTTGGATCCAGTCAGTGTCAGCAGGTGGACAGCACCTATAACCCACACCTTTTCCTCTTCACTCCAGTAAAAGTGCAACTTACAAGCTCCTGCTAACACACAGAGGCAAAGCGTGGGTACCCCTGAAGACAGGATATATACATCCATCACATCCTTTATCTTTGACTCACCAGGGAAAGAAAAATGGGAAGCTCTGTCTCGGGAGGCAGCTCCACAGTTCAGATGAATTTTCTTCTATTACAACCTCTGCCAGTTCTGGATGCTGGGACTGAAAGTGCTTTAGTTCTTCATAAGAGAGATGCTGTCCTGTCTTAAACAACACAGAACAACAACAAAACAAAAAAAAAGTTGTGCACCTGGAGTTTCTCCCCTCTCTCATTTCCATCCCACTGAAGAACATCCAAGAGTAACAGCCATAGATTGCTAAATTTTCAACCACAATGATAATTACTCAGAGGAACAACTTGCTAAGGTTGCAGAGAGCTTTCCACCCCCAATATTTTTTAAATGGGGCTAAATGTATTCTTAGATATATGTTCCACCTGTATAAACAATTTGAGTTTGTGGTTGAAAATACATGGCAGCGTTCTTCAGCTGGTGCTATTCAAGAGCTTGGACTAAGCATCCAGCCTTATGAATCAAGACATTACCTTGATTAGAAAAGGCTGAGACCTCTGGAGTTCTTCTGATAGTTCTCCAAAGTCTGTCACAATCTGAAGGCTTTTCACAGAAGAACATGCTGTGCAACATGCAGGCAGCGTAGAAGTGTTTTGTCTACAACCTGCTGTCCACCAGTCCTGGCATTCTTAAAGGAAATAAGAGAAATGTGTTTAATAAACCAAAAACAAAATGGAAAGGAGACAGACTCAAACATAAATTCATTATCCCTAACATGAAACACTGAGATTACTTATAGCTTCCAATGGATGCAAGTTACTCAAAAAAGCAAGCTTCACTGGGGTAGGGAACATTTCCAGCACAGTTTGAAGATGTTGGAGAATTGGCTCATGGTTTGGAGAAATGGGAGAGCTGTCTATTAACTCCACTTCTCTGTATATATAAGGCATACAGGCCAAGTTACCCTTTCGCTATCAACATGAGGAAGGCAACCACCATATACAGCGCAATGAAGTTGAAACAACTCCACAAGCAATAGTGCAATCCAAAGAGCATTTACAAGTGAGGCATCCAGAAGACAAAATTACTTTAAGAAAAAAAAGTATCTCCAAGTTGAAAATAGTAACTCTAATGTGGTTAGTACTGATGCCATGAGCCCTGCTAAGACATTCCTGAAACCCTGCTTTTCTACCTGCATTAACTTACAAAGACTCTGTCCTGGGCAAAGTTTGCCCAGTCCCCGATATGCAGAGGATGCTGGGAAATGTGGGTTTTCACCAAGATGTGGTGATGATATATTATTCCTTCATCTCTTGCATTGACTTGAAGATAAACTGAGGAGAAAAGTCCCAACATGAGGAAAAACTTTGCAATATATGTAGCTTATTAACTTGATACACAGTCCCTCCACCTTCCTCCTGAACCACATCTATATCCGTTTTAAGTTCCAGAAATCATTGTTACACCACCATCAGCTAAACAGGACTACAGTGAACATTGCATATATCTACTACTTCAAAAATATAATTTTTCACATGAAACTATTATTTGATGCCTATATCCTACCTCCCTCCTCCAACTTGCAGCTCTCCCAGCACAGAAGAGTAAGCAAACAGTAACAGAATTGACTTGTTCCTGCACTGAACAAACAGGACAAGAGAAGACAATCCTGAATATCCCATGTATTTCTATGTTAAGGCACCTGCAGCCACCAGACTAAAAGGACTTGGCTCTGATTTAGTGGAAGTAACAGCTTTAATCCTATGGGAAGATGTTTAACTTGGGCAGTGGCAACAAACCCAACCAAACACCTGATCTGTCAGGGTGGGTTAGGAACCCAAGGCCCTGGCCACACCTCACATGAAACATCCATAAATCTACCCTCATAACAGACTCATCTGTCCTGTCCAGAGCCAGCAAATGTCAAAACAGCTCGGGTCTCCTGGGCATTTGTGCAGGCCACCCATTTGGGAAATGGGGTGAATGGGAAAGAAGAGAGAGAAGAGACAGTGATGCCTGTATGAAAAATAGTTGGGAAACCATTATACACAGCAGCTCTTCAGGCATGCAGCCTTTGTGTTACTATGGTCATGGTTTCCAGCCACACTGACGCTCCTGCTGCTCATGGGTCATAACCGATGAACACCACTTAACAGAAAAGCATTTGCTTAATTTTTCCCCTCTGACATCTGCAACGTACAAATAGTAACATTATAGAGGGTTTTAGGTTCATCAGGACATAACAACAAAGAGCAGATTGGATATATTCAGAGGAAAAAAGCAAAACAGATCCCAATCAACTCACAAATGCCACACCTATTGCTGGTATATGGACTGAAAGGGATCAGGACATAATTCCTAGTCTTTCTGGAAAAAGCATCCCTGTTTTTGAGGAAAGGGGTAAAAAGGCAAAACAAAGTAGAAAATCCCTATCGCAAGCAGAAGTCCCACTCCCATGAGAAACTGCTCCAATGCATTTTCCCTCCCTGTTCACAAGAGAAAAAAGAAAATCTTTGTTCCACAGGCTGTAGAAAACTTCAATTTTACAACAAAAAAAACTCAACTCATGAAAAACTGCTGGTCAGCAATGGGAAACAAAAGACTGAAAGATCTCTCCAGAGGAGGGGCAGTCACCATGAAGAGAACAAGAAAAAATATCTTATGGTCTGTCATGATACAGAGAGCAACATTACTATAATTTCTTTCTGTGCAAAATTTAGAAAGTTCATCCTACGTTGTTAAGCCCAGTTGTCCCTAAATTTTCTCTCTGGGCTCAGGACAGTATCCCATAACTGGATACTAATCAGTTTTGACGGTATAGAGATTGATTTCTCTTTTGAGCTAGGCTGGTATATTTGCATTCTCAATTACTTGATTCAGGAGGTTATTTCTTTTCCCTATGAATAACCCAGGCAGAGCACAGTTGAGACACATTTCAAACGCCACAAGTGAGACTGTGGGATTTTTTTTATTTTATTTTTGTAATTGATCTTTTAGATTTATTGTTGAGGGTGTTAGTCTGTGCACTAGCATGTATGTGACTGGCATGACAAGTACAGGCAGCGAGAAGGGCCTGCACTTCCCAGGGATGGAGGGAGGTGAGACTGCACAAAGAGCAGAGGGCATGCAACTGCACACTGGGGACCAGAGCAGGAGTTTTACCAAGGATGCTTATTTTCTCTTTTGATTACACTCACTGCATTCCTTTTACATTACCACCCTGCCCAGACACCCTGAGGATTATTTTGGTTTAAGTCATGCACACTGTGCGCATGCATAGCTTGCTTGGATATTGAAAAGAAAGATGCACTCTTCATCTCAATGCAACCATCACGTGCAACTGTCACACGATGGCTCTATCCACTCACATTCAAATGTTAAATTGTTGGGCGTGTGCAATTATCCCTGTGGAGTTTGACTGCAGGAAAGCAGCTGTAGTACTGACACATACAACTATTCATTACGTGACGGAAGTGTGGGCCAGACCCAATGAACCTCTCCTACACGCCTGTGCTTTCTCACCCCTCTTTGAGGAGCAGGCTTCACTTCGTTACACAGAACTTGTTCTCTGTTGATCACACTCACTTAACGCTTCCTTTTATACTTAATTAGCTCTACAGAACAAAATATGTCTTCTCCCTTGTGTTTGGATAGCTCCTAGCAGAACCAGGGCTGAGGACTTCCAGCTTCTAACGTAGCACAAACGAAGAGATGACAGCTTTCCTTAAAATGCATCTCTGAGTAATGCTGGCAGGAGTTTATAGCTGTACTTTCCATTGTGTAGGGAAATAATTTTCAATTTACAATTAGTTTAAAATGAGCACCCCACCCTATTTGGCCATTTTCACAGAGGATCTCCCAAGCTTCTTGGCTGTCCTCAGACCTACAGAGGGGTGTGTGCACACAGCCCCAGAGATGCTAGGCGTGTACAGTCAGATGGGAGGCTAAGAGTTTACTGAGAAGACCCAGCCCTGCTTTTACCCACTGCAGTGAAGCAGTAAAACTTACAGAAACTTGCCCACATTGATGTGAGACCAGGAGAAGGGCCAGGTCTCTTAACAGACCATATAGAGGGGTAAGTATCAGTCTGATGGCAGTGCAACAAGTTCAGAGTGAAGCCATCTAGCAGGGAAACCTTTTGCTCCAGCATGACACAGGAAGTCAATGGCTCTTCCTGACCCCAACAAAGTGCTGGAAACAAAATTGCAGAATTGCAGGTGCAGAAGCAGCTTGCTGGCTCTCCAACAAGCTGGTTTGCTTCACAGCACTCAGGACTGCAAGGCTGAAGAATTCTCTACTAGGCAGGTGACAGCTAAATTTGCACAGGAAAATCTGTTCCAGGGGATGGGGGCCTCTCCCAAGAATTTGCAGCCACCCTAGATCTTCTGCCACCATCACCTACAAAAGAAAGCTTCCCAGAGGACTGTCTAATGCACTAAGCAGCTCCACAACCTGCAAAGGTTGGTTCCAAATCCTCAATTCATCTTTCTGAGCCTGACACTCTTCCCTAGTCCTGCAACGTAATTTGCTAGAAACCAGTTCCAGGAATATATGAACAATTTTAACAAGCCTGGAATTAATTCAGGACTCTCAAGAAAAGACTATACACCTGTCTATACACTGAACAGTCACAAGACATTTCTCTATCCTTTATTGTAGGTCTACTGTATGGCTTGACCGTACTATTTGGCTGCAAGTATTCCATTAACCACAACTAATTCGGACCACCCCTCACAGGGTTCAACATACCATCAAGAACTATACCTGTAAGCAGGGTGGGTGAGCAGGCAAGCCTAAGGGTTCAGAAAAAGCATGACTAACATTGGAGAACTGAAAGGTAGGCTCAGGATGGGGGTGGACTCACCTGGGCCTGGCCCACTGCCTCATTGATGATGCTGCACTTCAACCACAGTCTTATTCCTATGTGCTAGATGCAACAATGAGAAGATGCTGATCTCCACATTTGCCATGTTTCCTCACATTTGTCAAAATCAAGGGATTTTCAATGTGGATCTGAAAAGACCCTTAGAAAGGAAGAGGTTAAGACCTCAATCTACCCTCTGCTTTGACCATACTTTGGCCCTTTACGGATACGCACCCGACAGCCAGTAAGATAACTCCTCCATTCATTTCTGTAGCTAAGGCCCAATCACAAGCTAGTTCTTACAGCTGACACAGGGCAGAGCTTTTTAAAAGACACTCGGTCCCACTTGTAAAATTCCAAGTGATGTAGGGCCCATGAGATCCTCAGTGCTCTGATTTCCAATTACTACCACCACAGAAAAGCTGCAGCTCTTCCTCCATTTGAATATATCTAGCTTCCAGATGCTGGATTTTACCATGCTGCTTTCTATTATTTTTAGGACATGGATTTGCAAGGTCTAGCCCTTAACCTTAAAGTGAAGTTGCAGCTCATAATGTACTGTTATTGCTTTGACAGCCAAAGAATATTGCAGGCCAGGTCATCCTTGCTCCTGAGATACGACTAGCCTCTTGTTGCTTTGGGACCACTGCAGACTTACAGACACTACACTTCTCAAGTAAATAGTTTGCATGCTGCTGAGCTATACCATTGTAGCAGATATACTATAAACTTATCGTTGTGCCTCCTTTCCCGGACTTTATGTAAAGATAAAACTGTTTTAAAAACTCAAAGCCATCAATTCATGATTACAAATTCATGATTAT